CAAGGCATAGGAGGGTTAGTGATAGTTTGGTACTCGTGTAAAGTATGGGACCGTGTAAGGGAGCCCTAGGGGCAGCAAGGGGGTTTCCTAGTGCGCACCCTCCTGAAGGGAATAAGAAGGAGGGTAACGCGAGAGAGCCCGGTTCTTGATTATGCGAATAACTTCACGGACAATGGGGGACCCTCCATCAGCTGCTCCCCCAGTACACGGGATAACGTCGGCTCGGGGTGTCGGACCCTTCGCCGAGGGAGAAAAAAGTAATAAGTTAGCCCAGAATCCTCGGGATTGTCTAGGGGTTAGCGAGAGGCCGTCTCGTCAGTCCCCACGTGCGATGACGTTCAGTTCACATTGTGAGGTGCATCGTGTCACTTGTTTACATTCTCCCTCCGTCATCCCCCCCTCCTCCCATCCCTGGTCAATTCTTCCCGACAGTAATCCTTTGGTTCGCGAGGTGCGCCCGTTCGTCTCTCCCGACTCCCTCTCCGAGGAAGCATCCCCTGCCTGGTCGGGATCGTCGAGGAATCTTCGTGGAAGTGTCACGTGACTCGGGAGATCTTCGGAGGATTGATCTCGCGACGGAAGACAAGGAGGAGAGGAAACAGAAGAAGACGAAGGAGGAGAGGATGCTGGAAAGTGTGAGTCTGTGCTCCTTGCGTTCACTGCGGGCTTCCATGTGCCAACTTTTCAAAATTCATAAGGCACGCGGTGAATGCCAAGAGCGGACCATAGTCGACGAGAGTAAGACGTCGTGACTCGTGAACTCGTGAACTTGTGGAAAATGAGTTTGCATCGGATATTGGCGAGATCAGCGAAGGTCAGTAAATGCCAAAGTTTGTGACTCTCTCGCGAGGAGAGTGTAGAGTTTGTACGGTAGGATTATGAATTTATAAAAAGCCTGCTCTTCGCTCGTTAGGATCCTGCACGTCGCCTCTCTCGCAACACTCTAGACTCTATAATCTGTATTCTGTCTATGCAATAAAATTCCCCTGGACTGCGTCTTTGCGCCGCTGCGTGTCCGTGTAATCTGCGATCACATGTTGTGTTGTCTCTGCGAACCCGCAGCCTCGTCCCACCCATACCTCCCGTGCCTCCCATACCTCCTTACTCCTCAATAATCACCATAGCTATACTCTAATTATACGTAGAATATAGAAGAGAGATGCGCCTCTATCTGCTGGCCTTATCGATGCTCGCATGACGTTAATAAATGCTGTACAATAAATGAAAGCTCTGGAAAGTAACTCGCTATCTTATTATTTTCACATCGGAGTCCGACTTTCTCACTGAGTCACTCTCTCTCTTTGAATCCCTTAGCGTAACTTCCTTTTCTGTGGATAATAATCCTTCTCTATCTCTCTCGCTCTATCTCATTCTCTCGGTCCTATGTATCGTAGACACACTGCTCCTATTTCTGTCGTCCTATCCTCGTCTCGAGCGCGTTTCACGGCGCGATAGAGACGCGAGAGAGATGAAGGATTCCTACAGGTGTCCAAGGTTGAGTTCCCACGAAAGCTCTCGAACAACGGGAAACTGGATATCTCCACGGTAGCCAAAGTCAAGAAGTGAGAGAGAGAGAGAGAGAGAGAGCCTAGGTGAAGGATGCCTGCAGTAGAGTAGAGCATCACAGAGGGAGAGAGAGCGAGCTGTAGAGGGCTGTGGGGTGGTGGTAATGGTAGTAGTAGTAGTTACTGGTACTAGTAGCGGCAGTAAGTACTCCTAGGTATACGTACTCTCCTGGAGTTGGCAGTGGGTCGTCGGAGGGATGGGTCCACCCTCAACGTCATGGGAGACGACATGCTGCTCCTACGCGAAGGGCGGCTTTGAGTGGGTCGAGGCTGGTCGAAACTTAAAGTCGAAACCACCCTAATGGAAATTGGGGAATTCCCAGGACGTTCGCGAAATGGGGGCTTGTATCGACCGAAGCGTCGGGGGTGAGGCAGAGCCTCGTTCGAGGTTTAAGGGTGGATGTACGTTGCCTAGCAACCCCTCCGGTTGCTCCAGCATCCTCTACACCCTGGACCACCACAGCTACCACCATCGCCTCTTCTCCCCCCCCCTCTTCCTCCTCAACCCTCTCGACAGACCCTCCTCCATTATTCAAGCCCGATGCTCAACCACTGTCCCTTTTCGCCTGCTTCACCCTGCTACGCTCTTCCACGCCCTGCACGACCTCCTCAACCTCCTGAACCATCGCACCCTCTACCTACCTCCCTCAACCCTTTGTCCACTGTCCCACGACCTAGCCTGACTCCACTATGCCCCTGTATAACAGCGCAACCAAGCCCCGATTATAATTCCCTGCAACTTTCTTCGGACCGACCGACGCCCGCCATTCTCCATTTTCCTTTGGATCCAATTTAAACGCGAGATGCACGACTCTGCCATGCATCCTCATCCAGATCAAACAGAAAGCTACTGAATTTCAGTGGTACAGTCTGTTTGGAAAGTTACCTAAACACTCGTGAAATTAGTTAAGAGACAAGAAATAGACACAAAAGCTCGGTTCTCTTCGTCAGTAAATGTTTGATGCTGGAAGCGAAGGTGGTTAAGGATTCTCGGTACCCCGGAGATGCTCTGAAATAACATATTCCTAAGTATGAGAATAAAACGAGTAAGATATGAGAGGTTGTGGAATATAGCTGTGGGGGGAGCAGGGAGTTGAGCCCCGGAATTATTCCCGCTGGTCCTTGGGGCACGGTTAGCTACACGATCCCCTGGGAAACGGGGTCCACTTTCGGGAATGGCTTTCCTCCAGTCAGCGGCATCTGTTTCTCTCGCTCTCGCGGACCTTCCTGCCGGCTTCTTCCCTTCTTCCCCTCTCCCTCTCTCGAGTCGTCATCAGAGCAATACGCGAAGGTTAAGCAAGACTTCATTTTTTCTCCTGGAAGCGTCCAAGATAAATTAGAAATGATGTCGTTCGTCTTGCACGACGTAGATGCTTTCGCGATTGATCACCCAATAAGAGATAATACGAGGACACTTTTCTTGCGGGCGACCCAGGCAGCCCTCAGCCTCCGGCCCCTCATCTCCCATCCCTGGATGTCCTCCCGCGAGAACTGTAATCGTACCTATGATCTCTCATTCCTGGACCCCTCGGGGATTCGAAATAAACCTCGATAAGTCAGCGATACTTGGATGTGAATATGCGTCAGGAAAATACGGAGGATTTCGCATTCTAATGGAAATCATTTCCAGATCGACAAGGTCTGGAATTCATGGTTGATTCTCACGAGTGAGTTAAGTGCGAGGGTAGCGCTGGGAGGCTCCTTCATGATTTTCCTACCTAATTCTTGACTCTCGAAGAGCACGAGGGAATTAGATTGTTCTCAATAGAAGATGCAGGGGAGAGTGGGGAGAAGGAAACTAACAATGACTCTATAAACGACTCCTCCATCCCTCATTATTTTGAGGCTTTTACCCTTGTGCCGTCATGACAAATGCGAAGACGCACTAATGCCAATACGACGAATAAATAGGGATGAAGATCATTTTCTCAAGAAGATGAAGTGTCGCCCGTGTACCCTTATAATCTATCAAACGATTTTATCCCCTTTTATTTTCATAAGGTCAACAGATATTATTAATAGGAGCTTCTTAATATCCGGTTCGATCGAGTCTGTTCGAGGAAGAACGTCCCACCAGTTGCGATTTGTCCAACTCGTGTTCTTCTCAACTTTTCCTCTCGACTCCACCGCTTTATCTCCCACGGTGCAGTCGGCACTGGCAGCGTAGAAAATCAATCGAATGGCATCCAATATAATGAAATTTCTTCATTTTCATATTGAACAGCCGCACTGGGGCAAGAGACTGAAAGTTTCATTAAAATTGGGAATTCACGTGAACCCCAAGTATTCCTTATCGAGTAGAGGAAGAGAACCAGAGGATCTTTTAAGTTTCGTAAGAAGAGTTTGGCTTTTCTATCTTTCTTTACTTTCCGCGGGGTTATCGGATTCTTTCGTTAGGTATGCCTAAAAGTTGGCACACTCGCTGTAGGTTAGATAAGAAAAATGGAGAGCACTTCCGATATGGTGGTGGCTCGATCGACTCTCCCTGATCGAGTTCCCAAAGGTACCAGCAATGTTAGTTAGCGTTAAACGTCTTACAGCCTACAGCGTCCTTCTCCGAGAAGTTCAAATAACCGTTCATCTCTTGGAGAGAATTCGGAAAAGTCTTGACATTGTTGAGTAGTAACGGGTCAGAGTTCTCCGACGCAAATCATCATCCTGGCAAGGACGTATTCTCGCCAGCGGCACCGAACCTTCTATCCGGGAGAATCGACTATTTGAATGGTGCCTGGAACGAAGTCAGAGGGAAGTTGCAAACGTAGTCAGGATGCGTACGTGGAGGATGAGAGAGCGAGCGATACGGAGCAGATCGGGATGGACCAGGGATACTGGGGGCGGACGAAAGGTATTCCGGGCTGAAGAGAGATGGGAGCGGACCGAGAGAGGATGGAGTCACGTGGCAGGAATGGGAAAAGCTGGGATAGGGGGAGAGATCAATACCAGGTCGCTAGGCAACGAGCCTCCAGCGATCTCGGTCCGGGTAGACAGGGTGCCGCCACCAGCCTTATGCCACCCCTCGTATCGGCCCTTGGCACACCCTTGGCATCCACCACCACCACCATCAGCTTTAGATACGATCCTCGCACTAGACTCGAATAAGGCTGCCTCTCGCATCCACAACGAACTATGTTAACGCCCGAGAACGACAACCGTCTTTTACTTTTTTATCTCATTCCCAAAGGCAGGAGCGTCGCGACGCCTGCGACAGTCCGCCATTCCTTTATTCGTGGCCAACGGGCGTTGCGAGCTAGTCCGGAACAAAAATAAGACCAAACTAGGAAGAAAGTCTCAGGTTGCAAACTCTACGGTCGCATGAGCTCGCAGGTACTCTAGCAGAGCCTGTACGTCACTCCATCCATAGAGCACCCTTAGCGATCTGAGCCTAATTCATTCTCTCTCCTTCAGGAAAAACACTCGGAAGGGATTCAAGCCTCTTTATTCCTACTGCGACAATTGGCAGAGCATCGCGACGCCTCGCATTATCCAGTGCTCGGATGGTTTACTGGTGGGCAGCCTCATGGCGATGACAAAGTTCGTCGAATGCCCCGTGGTCGAAAGTACACCTCGTCTTTCGCTCGTTTTGTAAACGGGACACGTGTAGGAGGTTCGTTCCACGATGTCATCCTTCTTCATAGGCACCAGCCACATCTGAAGCAATTTTCGAGGTTTATCTTTTGAAATAAAATGTGATGCATCCTGGACACTTACGTAGGGCACTGTATCGTAAAGGACCTTGGTCAGCGACTCGTCCATTTCCATAGTTTCCGTATTGAAACGCGCGCCGTCCAGGAAAAGCCCGTAAACGTAGACGCCGTCCTCGGCGGCTTTGGAAAAACTGCTCTGCCTCAAAGGAAGAAAATCGTAGACCAACAGATCTATCGGAATCGAATATTTCCTTGCGTAATTCTGCCTGGCACCCGTCAGGAATGCTTGAGTGAAATAGAACCCAGATATCCAGAAAGTCGTGGGCGGTCCTTCCTCGTACCAGACCTTCAAAAATTAGGATATGGAGTGAGAAGCACGTGTCTCCTGAAAATTTATTAAGTCTTCGTTAAATCTACTTGGAGGAATTGAAGCCGTCTCAAGAAATCCTGCACGTAGCTGCCAAGAGGCTTTAACGATGGATAAGAGTCCTTCTTCCACATCAGCGGAATCCTGCCCGTGATTATGGATCCGTAAACCTCTTCCAGCGGCGGATTCATAATAACTAATCCTGATAAGGATAAATCTTCCTGTTACTAAGATCGGATTCGCGTGAAGTATCTCAATGACCTACCCTTGATAGCTTTTTGTACATCTACGAGGCTGCGCCTCACGGTGCTCAGAAGTTTATTGAACCGACCCATCTCCTGGACCAGGACAGTGTTCATACTCTGAGTGTAGGAGGTCGGATATTTCTCAAGAGCATCGACAAGGTCAAAGTTCTTCGGAAGCTTAGAGAGGATATCAGCAGCTACGTCAAAGGTGATTTCATCCGGGGACTTTGAACCTTCGGTGCCTCCAGCGGCGGTGTCCTGTGAAAATCGTGTACGAAGCATTCAAAAGGATCCTTTCGAAAAATTGAAAACTGTTTTCGCTCTGTGGTTGGTTGGAAGGAAATGCGACCTAAGGAAAATGAGTGACCCGTCCTCGGATCACGGTTCAAATGAAAATCGTGAAGGATAATTAAAAGTGATCGATTCCCGGCCCGGGAATCTGGGCAAAACACGTTTTTCCTCTCTCCGAGGACATTTAAGTAGAGGATCGATCGACGATCCAATGAAAAGGATCTTGGCTTCGTTTTAAGCTGTGTAACTTCCTGACGCGACAACAAATCAAATCTCTATCGCTCTTTTACGAAGCTAATTATGATATTACTGAACTCGGTGGGCTTGTCTCTCGTCGCTCACTCAATGTCCACATGGAGTTTCAAAGGATAACGAGATAATACATCGCTCTAATTAAACGACTGATTCGCTTCTATGCACCGAAAACGAATGACCTACCTTGTGTTCCTGGGAAGCATAAAATTCAAAGAAATCGATATGAGCGATTGGCACGTCCTGACTATTTGCGTCCTGTCCAACATTATATATTTGCATTTGAGATGAAGAAATTTACCTGGGTCAGTAAAATTGAGCTCATCATCAATTCGGTCTCCTGCTGATCTTTAATGATATCGGCATTCTCGTTCATGCCGAAGACGCTGGGCGCCGTCGTCATTGGCAAAGATTTAACGTATTCAAGAAATTGAGCGTGTTCGCTCACTTGAGGAATATAATAAATGGCGCTGGAGTCCAAAAGGTACTTCGGGCTATTGACGGTTTCTTCGCAATAGAATTTCGCCAGAATCGTAGTCAGAGTTCGCCTGTCCCATTCGTCGGTGACGCGGCCGCCATAATTACACTCGCCTGAAATAATACATCTTGTTTAGCAGCCAGTATCGACCTACCATTCTCCATGAGAAAATCTTCCGACGGACCCGTCAGATATTTCAGCGCTGTAAACTGAACGTCCTCGTATTGATCCAGAAGAATCTTCAATTGGAGAACACTGATCCTTAAGTCGGTCTCGTTAAACTCGTAAGGATTGTTCCAGCCGATGGGGCCGAACTTTCTCCTCTCCTGCACGATGGCGTGGAAGAAGCACAACGAGAAGAGAAGATTCTTAAAGGCCTGCTTCTGCTTCGACGTCTCGAAGAACTCTGGGTCGCAGATCGGGTCCTGCGTCGAATCGTCGGGTTACCGAGAAGTCTGGAGATTCGATAAGTCATTTAATTACTTGTAAGTAGGAGCGAATGATGTTTGCACGAAGTCCCTTCGGTGGCTCGTTCGTCATTTTGACCCCGTTCTGCAGGACGCTCACGGGGAAGTGTTCAGCCGGGTAACTGGTCAGCCACAAACGGAAATCCGGATGGACGGTTTCTGGGGTGAGATTCTCGCAGATCTACGCAGCGGGAAGGACACTCTCAATAGTGGTAAGTGAGGAAGACTTGGGAAGGTGGAAGGAATCTGAGGAATCGAATGACGAACGTGAATTACCTTCTCCAGGACAGGCATCCAGCTTTTCGCCAGGTGGCAGTTTTGAAGGACGACCCATGTGCCATTCTTAATACCCTCGTCGATAAGAGTCACGGCAATGGGGCCTTGACCCTGACCCAAAGATAAGGAGAAAAGCCTGTTGGTACCGAAGCCTTGATCATCTGCGAATTTCAATAGGATGGCCGTAGGATCAGCTCCTGGGGTCAGGACGAATATTAAAGGAACACAGCAGAAGGAGTCGGCGTAGGATGAGGCCAGGTCGAATGGCGGCGACTCCACAAATTGCTTTCCCATTTCCACTGTTGAAGAAAACATTCGTTTCAGCTACAGTCCAAAATGGACGATCCGTCCTTCTGCTCTTTTTTGATGGGGCTTTTTTTCCTGCTTTCGGAATAACATCAATACGTCGTACGAAAAACCGAGTTGCCGCTCGCTACCCCATCTCGGACCTGACTAATGACCTCGTAACGATGTAACATGCCAATTTATCTTTCCACGAAGAGGCGGCAGGACACTAGGCTTTGAAGTTGAGGGGAAGTCACGTGACCTCACTTATCGCGAGACGAGTCAGTTTCCAAAAATCCGACTAAAGTCAGACATCTTACCCTCGACGAATTGCTGTACGGCTGGTATGACCTTATCGGGTCGAATGCATCGGAGAATTAAGAGTTTCTCAAAACGGGTCAACTCATCAAAAGGCGCAGGGAATCTCAAACTCTCAGGCTCCGTGTGATCGAAAATGAGCTTCCACTTATTCACTCCCTCGGTAAAGGCTTCTCTGATACCCTGGATATTTGAACTGAGCAATCAAGAGAGAAGAAGATACCCAAGTCCTAAAAGAAACTCACCGAAAATCCTGGAACGCCATTCAGCCGACAGAGCTCATCCCAGTTTTTGGCCGGGAGCCACTGACTCGGATTACTGTGTGGATTCTCGAGGCCGACGCCTCCAGTCAGCAGAAACATCCAATGGACCATCGAAACCTTGCCTTGCTTGTTCAACAGGTTGATAGCCAGAATCAAAGAAAAGAGTAGTTTATCTTTTTCAAAGAGAGACCTGCAGATATTCACGTAGAGCGAATAGGTGAAGGATTCGGTGAGGTCGCTAAGTCGTTGCTGAATATCCTCGACCTGGGGAGTATTCTCGATGGTACTCTTGAACAGATTGACAAACCAAACGAGAGAATATTGGTACATCGGATCGATGTTTGCCAGGACAGCTGTAAAAAGAATGAAATTGACAGATTCCTATGAAGCAACGGAAGGCTCCGCTGAATTGCTAGTAACGAACCTATGGTAAAGAACAGTACAGTGCTGTAAACTGCAATGGGTGTGTACTGCAATCTCGCAGCATCAATCGATTTCTCGGTGACTTCAGCGGCCGTTTGCTTAGCCTGGATTTCGTTCGAAAGGACTTTAGAGGAGCTCAGGACGCCGATGGCTGTTTCGTCCTCGAGAATATTCTCGTCCGACGAGGACAGAACTTCCAGGATTTTGTCCTCTATCTCCTTCAACATCCTGAAGACAAGGTAACATTATTAAAAGATCAGCGTGCCTTTGTTACGGAACTTACTTTTTGTTTGCAGCACCCTGTACGATCAATTGATTTTTTTCAGCTTCCAAATCAGGCCGCTCCTTGGCTACGGCTATTCCTAAGAGCTGATCCTCCAAACCTCTAGGAGTAATCATGAAATTCAGGAGAGCAACCTTCACTGCGACCTCCGGCAGGTAATGTGGATTTCTCAGCTTTGTCGTTATGTAAAATCTATTTGAGAAAAGTCGATGCAATTCGTGCGGAGCGTGCCTGCTTTATTTATAATTTTACCTGAACTTATCGCTGTACTCAACGACTGAGTCACCGACTTTTATACATAAAGCACCTCCAGACTTGTAGGTCTGTTTCAGTAGAAGCGGCTCCAGTGCAGCATCCAACTCCTCGTTGATGTTCTCCAGAAGTACTGGTTGTCCAAACTGTATCGCGTTCTCCAGAATCCTCATATAATCCGGCTGCGTGAGTCTGACCACGTGTATATTGGCACTTTTCTCCATATTTTTAATCCACTTGTTAGCCTGTCCCTGGGGATCGATCATCAGCGGCCATCTTCTTGAATTGGTCACGATTATACCATTGTCCACGGAGAACAAATCACTGGGCAGCCCATAAATGTTCCAGGATCTAATGAGAACTGAATCCCCCAGGACTTGCGTCAGCTGATAATCCTGCGTGCAAGTCACTCCAAGGTCCGTGCACACCTTGACCCAACTCTCGACTTGCTTCTGTCTATAGTGCGCAGTGAAGACACCAAGATAAGCGACGATTCCGGAACCGATAAGAATATCTCCAGTAAGTTTGAAATATCGTTCTCCTAAATTCTTAGCTGTTTCCGACCACCTGTTGTATTCCCCACCGAGACCACCGATCAGTTCCTCGGCTCTCCTGAGCTTCTGCTCGCACTCGTCGACCTCATCCGTCATGGCCGTGTAGTCGGCCCTTCTACGCGCCAGGAGTTCTTCCAATTTAGCTAAACGATCCTGGACTTCCTTTAATTTGGCCCTCTTCTCTTCCAGCTTGCTCATCGCCTCGGCGTACGTCGCTTCCGCCTTGGCCAGGGCAACCTTCTTTGGCGCCACCACGCGGGCGACTGTGTCATATTCGGAAAGAGCAAACACCCACTTGCACAAACCTTCAGCGGCGGTGGAAGCATTTCTAATCTTGTCTGGATCGAAGTTCGGGTTGGTCAGAATGGTCGTGCGTATCTTCGTTATGATTTTTTCAGGTATATTGTCCTTGTCGAAGAGCATCAAAGACTCCAAGAACTTCATGTCCCCCAGCACCCTCAGCGAAGGCTTCCAATAATCGTCCACCATCTTCCCTCCTTCGCCGGGAACGCGCTCAGGCTTTACGTCCTTCAGGATACAAACGGCCTCCATTACCAACTTCACTCCTGCAGGAGGATTCTTCATGGACTTGACGATCTGAATGTCTTGAGGTGTCAAAGTGTTTAGGGCAGTATTGGCAGCATTCAGAATCGGCATCACCAGTTCCAAATCGGCATTGCATTCCGCTCGAATTTCTTCTGCGCCCGCAGCTACCAGCTTGGCCGCCTCCTCGTCCTTCTTAACCGTTTGTTCAATTACGGATACTTCCTCATTCTCTTTTTGCACATTCAGCAACATCCTCTCGACGTCCTTAGCGGCGACGATCAACTTCGGTTGAAGAGCAACCAAGATTTCCTGCATTTTGGCGACCTGCTTATGAGTTCCGTCAAGCTTTCCCAGTCCTGCCTCGTATCTCTTCTTGCCCTGAAGCACCTCAGTCCTTTTCTTGTCCAGCAGATCCTTGAACGTGTTGATAAGCTCCAGGTAGGAAGTAGGGGTCACGTAATTGTGTCTTCGCGCGTGCCTAAGGAATTCCCCTGAAAGCTCCTGGGTGGATGTATGAAACGTCTGACACATCTCGATGCACGCGGTGCGCTCATCCTGAGGCATATTGATTTCGCCTAGGAATTTCGTCGCGACAGCCAAAAGTGCATCCTCGGGCCAAGGACGCAGCCAGTCGATCGTGCAGCAATTCACCAAAGCTGGAAACTTGCGAATCCGCGTACGGAATCCCTCGCCAATGGGCGACATTGCCACGACTATGTGAAGCTGCTCGCGGATGACCTGGTTGAAGAAATTGAAGAGGGCAACTGGACTTCCGTCTGTTTGCACGGATTTGTCACGCTGTCTATCTATTTGCCGCATCTTCTCGCAGATTTCTGCCTTCTCGTCAGTTTGAAATAGATTCGGAACTTCCCCAGCATTCAGCAGGTTGCTGATGTCCTCTAAGAAGGACTCCTCCTTGATCTGCATATCGGTAAAGAGAAAAGCCGTGTGCAGATCGCTTCCGGAACTTCTGCGCAGGATGGTCTTCAGGTCTTCGTGCCACTCGTGGTTTCCGTACTGTTTTGAAATTTCAACTTGGAAAATCTCGTACTCGGCTATATGTGCTGCCAAGCGAGTCAATGACTGACGACCAGAACCCCCAACGCCGACCAGCAGAGCGTGGCTTCGGGGCTGCTTGATTATTCGACTGATTTTTGAAAGATGCTCCACAGCGAATCTAAACAACACAAGATTCATCGGTGCCTTCGTTATCGAATTGTATTCAGCCAAATAGTCCTCGACCGTTCGGGCGAGTACATCCAAGTTCTCTACTTCGAGATACAGTCTTTTATCTGCCAGTGGATCCTGGAAGTCGCAGTACACCAGATTTCGCAATTCCGTCTCAGTTATCGATTCACCAGGTTTTTCAAGAAAATCGGCAAACAGGCTGTTCATGTCCTCGCTCATTCGTTCCTGCAGAGTCGTACGTATTTGCTCGATTAACCAAAAGGTGTCAGATTCATCTACCAAACGATCTCCATAGACGCGGAGTATTTCATGGACCCATAAGCGTTTCATACCATTCTGTAAGAGAGACAAAAGAAGTTGAAAAGAAGAACAAAGTAACTGATGAAGTTCGCAGAAGAATTATTTTTTGTCAAAGGTACCAAGTCAGAGAAGGACTCCGGAGTGGATAGTAGGATACCCTGGATGACCCGGGAGAAGTCTCGAAGATTAAATAAGTAGTGCGACTTGGCTGGAGTGGGCAGGAGGTACTTTAGACTCTCTTTGTAAATATCCAAAGTGGCATAAACGACCTGCTCGACGCAGGGCTCGAAATACGGTGAAAATCCACGTGAAGTCAGATGCCAGGTCATTATTCTTCCAAAAATCGTGACCATCACGTCATCCTCAAATTCAGAAATGGCCAGAACGAAGAAGTGCCGTTTGAATCTTGGTGTGACGTCCAAGCCGCCAGACGGCGGGCCCATCGCGCAAACCAATTGCATGTCCACTAGCCTCACTGGAACAATGTCCTTTCGGTCGTACCAGGTCCAATGGTCCAGCCATTGCCGCAGTAATTCTATTGGAGGTTGCGCGCCATACTCTTCCTTGGCAGGCATTGAGAGATCATCTACGAAAATGACCCAATGTTTCCCTGGCGGGGCTCCGTAGACGCCTTTACGTCTTTTATCCATTTTACTCATAATAATGTCCTGCGTTTGGTTGGCCGTAGTCTGAGCGGAAAATGTGACGAATAGCGGCTTGAATATTTGCACGTTGTTCTTCTTCAGTAGAAATTCCATTATGTAGACAGATTTTCCGGTGCCGGTGGGGCCCACAAGGAGCAATGGCTTGTTATGGGAGACTAATTTTTTAAAGAGATTAAAGTAGCGAACAGTCTCGACTGTGGCCACTATTATTTGATTGACTGGAAGATCTCGCGGTATAGGAGGAACATCCAGCAGTTCATCCGACCACAGCTTCCAAATTCCTTTCCCTTCCTTTGTGTACATGTAATCGTAGACGAGCCCAGCATTCGGAATAAGCGTGACGTAGGGTTTTTTGGGACTTGTTGTTTCTTCGGATATGTAGAAGCGATCCTTAATTTCCGGAGATAATTCACGTTGCATCAGAGCTCTAAAAAGAGTACTGAACCACTCTCGGTAAGGCACCAACAACGTGCCGCCCATTCCCCAAATGCAGGAGAAGAAAAAGGAACCCTGAAATCATTAAAAAGATTTCTTACACCTATAATTCTTTCTCTCTTGTCTTTTAAAGAATTTTCATCAATTACTTCGATTTGTGCTCGCATCTCTAAGTCGGTAGTTGAATCCAAGAATTTTTTATCCGTGAAATCATCCAGGAAACAGTCGAATAGATACATCACTGATCTAGTCAAGTTCGCATCTGGCATAGACAACATTTCCTGTATGAAAAAAAAAAGTTAGTAATTAAGCTAATACAGAGATATGAGAAACTCTAATTACCACTGCACCGCATCGACGTATCAGATGCAACAGCGCCGGACAAAATCTCAAAAACATATCCTTCAGATGATTTTTAATATGTTCACTTAAACTACTGGGTAAGATATTTAACCAGGAGTTGAGAAGAGGGGTCCAGCCTAGGGCAACTGGCTCCATGTATATCATTCCACATCTGGAGACGGTTGCGGGTGAAGCGACCTATTGAATAGTAGAGAAATTTTAGAAAAATCAGACTTTTTGAGAGTTAAGGAAAAAAAAAGTCATAGTACCTCCAAATCCATGGGTTCAAAAATGAGATTGGTGGTTGGCGCCAGTTGAATGATTTCTCCGGACATCAAACAGAGCTTTTTATTATCATCAAGTACTGTATTCATGTTCTCAATCCAGATGGCGTCGACGGGTCCATCGAAGATGAGCCATTTACGATTCTCGTTAGTAGAAACGGCAAAAGCTCTGTAGCTTACTGCCAGCACACCGTCGCTCCATTCGTGGGATGCTGGGTCAAATTGGCCATACAACTGGCCCATCGTAATCGACTTTGGATTGATGACTGTAATCTCGACACGATGCTCGTTCATAAGTTTACGTTCCTCAAGAAGCGCGAGGCAGTCGGCGAGCATCCTGTAGGCTGAAGTCTTTCCACCGAACGGTAGACCCACTATCATGAAGCCGTGACGCACTATCATCATCTCGAAGATCTGCTGTATCTTCTCGAGGAAGGAATCAGTGCATTGGAGATTCGCATTCTCGCAGGCCTCTCTGGCGCATGCATTGAGATGCGTGTAATCTGGATCCGGGAGAACGACTCCTGGGAAGAGATCGGAAGCAATTCCATGGAAAAGGGGTAAGTCATGACTTAGGAACTTTGGGAGATTTACATCCTTTATGCTCCTGAGAAGCAAAATGTCTTCAGATTCATCGGGATATTTCAATTTCAGATTCCCGGCTGCCGTTAGAACCGACTTTACGGCTCTCATTCCGTAATCGTAATGACACTGGCTGCTTAATTGTTCCGAGCAGAGTTTATATGCTGTTACAATCTTAACAGCCAATGGCCTGCCATTGTAAAACCCAAAAGAATACAAGGTGTTCTCAGAGATAAGAGCATAATCAGGCACCATCATGGCCACGGATCTGAAGAGGGCTTTAAGATTATCAGGCAATTCAGATCTGCCCGCGTATCCGGGATTCATTGTGATGAAAACTGCGCACGTGGGATCCAGGAAGATCTCGGTCCCCTCGAAGAGGAGTTTCTCGGCGCCGGAATTGATTCCTCGCTGAATCGTAAGAATCTGCTGAGCGACTACGGAGAGGACCTCCAGGTCGATCCTGTTGAACTCGTCAAAACAGGACCAGGCTCCGCAGGATGCGAGGCCTTTGAAAAATTTTCCAAGGGCTATGTAGTCCAGACCATCCGAACAGTTGAAAACGACGCATTGTTTGGCTACGGCCTTCGCCAAGTCCTTCGTAGTTTCCGTTTTTCCGGTTCCTGCTGGGCCTTCCGGAGCACCTCCCAAGTGGAGACTTAGAGCGCCGAAGAGGGTACGGTAGCATCGATCAGTCAGTGGTGTAATGACCAAACGTGAAGTATTACCCAGGTATTCATAACCGTAACGTAAGTTGGAATTTATCATGTAGGACCACATGTTGTTCTCCTAAATAGAAAGGTAATTGGATCTTCTTCTGCAGGTTGAACTACCAAAATACTGCAATACCACAATACCTGCCAATAATATCGAAGTTGGCAGAGCCATCGGAAGTCATTATTTTTGACAACCCCTTCTTTCCAGAGATCGGTCAGCACATCCTTGGCGTGCACGTCCAATGTAACGAGGGCCTCTAATGTTTTTAGAGCCAAGATAATTAACAATATTTACTTAATGCCACAGAAACAATTTAATACTAACCCAGCGTTATGCGATTCTGCTTGGAAAGCTTTCCTCTGACAAGTAGAATGATCTCATTGAGTTCGTCCTGGCACTGGTCCAGATAAGATTTCAGACCATTGACTCCATCTAACATGGATTCCTCAACTTGCTGTGTCCAGTAAAGCTGGCCAACGCAGAGAACAGCCTGACCAGGCCATTCCAGGACCCAGGTCGTTCTCTCTTTAATTGGATATGCTTCGATGGCGAGAAACACCATGCGATGAACACTCTTACGCATGTCGGTCTCTAGTTCCAGAAGCCATTTCTCTACTTGACCTCTCGCAGCAGCAGTAGATATCACGTCGACCAGCGAAACCTCCTCGCCTTCAGCGGACTTCATCTTATGCACATCAAGATCCTTGTCGAAATGTAGCTTGGCGATACCTTCGAAGCACTTCTTCAAGTGTGGCTGCACTCTGCAGATGATTAGAACTGAAGTTATATCGTCAATTTAATTGGTTCGTTTTATTAAATTACCTTGTGGGATCCTTCGTCTCAGAAAGTATCTCCAAGAGCTCATCATTGGACAGAAAGAAGAATCTAGGAAAGAAGAGTCTCTTCTTCTCGAGATATTCGTTCAACCCTTTCTGGATGAGATCCAGCAGCCCCATACTCTTCTTCAGCCTCTCGAGCATCTTATCGATCTTAACGACTGAAAGGACTCTGGAGTCTGCCTGGACCGTCTTCATAATATCGCGCCATGTCTTGTCCACAGCACTGAATCTTCGACCTTCTTCAGGCATTTGCTGTTGGATGTCTGGCGAAGAGAATATAGGTTCCAGGTACATCCAGATGCCCTGGACTTTGAGCCACTGGTCCAGGATATCTTGCAGGAGGTGCAACATGTTTTCCCACTTTCTAAATTCAAAGAAGGGCTGCGTTTCTGAAACTGCCTATGGGGAGCTATAAAAAAGCGTTATACATTATCTGGGCCTCGAAGGGCTTGATGTACGGTGAATTCTTCATAGTCATCGACTTCGTAATATGATCATCCAGCATCAATTGAATTTCGTCTACTCCTGCTACCACGTAAGTCCCTGTATCCTTATAAGGATTTACCGTGAAGACCACTTGGATCCAATCTTTATACATTTTATCCATATTCTTTTCCAACGTGCTCTCCCTAGTGGCAGCCTCCGATATACTTTCAAATTCGTCTATGAAGGCATCTAGATTGATTTCGAGGACCTTCCCCAGAGTCAAATCAGCATCGACCTTAATGGGGAAGCCCACTACATCAGAGACCTGCTCCCAGTGTCGTAGCTTCATGCCAGGATTTCCCAGCATCATTATCACAGGCATGTGATCTTTGAAATCTTCAATTTTTTCTCGGACCAATCCAGCCAGCATTTTCGGCTCTGGTTCCTGGAACGCCTTCTCCAGCTTGTAGATCGTTCTTGAAATGACCGATTCATTGAAATTCAGTATGCATTTCATTTAAATGAGTATCGAAAAATTCGAATTCCTATAGCGAACCTGTAAGCTACTCCCACATCGTTATCGATGTCCTCAGGATTGTAAGATCCAATCATAGATCCTGTCCACTTCTCATATTTCATGAGGAACTCGCAGGCGCTATCGAAAAGCTTTTTAAACGGTACTAATCGATCAGCAATTTTTTTGCGAAGTGGATACTGCGTGGTTTCCCAACCAAAGGAGACTTCCTCCTCATTAAATTTATCTATCTTTTCCATAGCAGCTATCAGTTTATTTTCAAGATTCTGCGCTTTTTTCTGGTAGCGGAATACTTCATCGACATCGCCCCAGTATTGAATGTCTTCCACCTGTTTGGAATACGATTCCAGCTCCTCTTCGAACCGCTGATATCTTACTGTGAATAATTTTCGATTTTACTTCATGAATTTCACACTATTCAACAATAAATACCTTTCAGAGCCTCTTGAAAGTCCTGGGTCTTATTTTCAACTATTAGTCTGTGATCTTCAAGGATTTGGGGCATACGGTGATACCACTGAAAGGCATTGTTATTCACCCTGATCTCAGCATCAGTCGATAACCAGTAGTCACTTAGAAAAACAATATTTTCCAAAACATGCAGAAGAACATTTTCTAATTCCTTTAAAGTGATCTCTTCGGCATTTCTCATAAATTCAATCAATTCCATTAAGGCTGCCGTATTCGGTGGCTGACTTAGGGCACGGTTAGCAATCGCTTGATACTCTTCGCCGGCTCTTGAAAATAAAGTAAGTTTTTTTTTAATTTCTAATAACGAGAACATATTTATATGTACTTAATTTTTCTCTGAAAACTTACAACTTTGCATTAGATTGATAATACAAGACCATCCTCTCTATGATGGCGTTCTTAAAGGACATTGCTGAGTAGACCAACATTTTAATATAATCCTTAAGCACGATTTCGAAGAAACCAGCAAAAATAGTTTCATTGTTCTCCATTGGTATTTCATTGACAAGCGTATCATAACGAATAAGAGTCTCCTGGTATTCTTCGAAGGTCTTCGTCTCGTCGGATAGAAACTTGATGACGTTATTTAATTCTTCATCGTTGAACAAGGGAGCATATCTGCATCAATGACTTCTACGATATCCGAATGATATTGGGGCAATCAACAGAGAGTGTAATAAATATTCCTACCTACGCAACTCGTCCATTATTTCCCCAAATCTACATGTTTGCTGTTCAATAAAATCAGCAATTTGCTTCTTATACTGGTCAACTGTGGTGGTCGAGACTTTTGGCTGAAAGTATCACTCAGTATCACATAAGGATTTTGTAATAATAATTATTGTAAGGGCTCATTGAGCAAGGATGAAAGCCCCACCTTCAAATAAGAGTGCGGCTCGGACCAATCGAGATAAAGTTGCTCCTCCAATCGATCGAATCGCGCGACAGCGTCGCAAATTGCATCGAGAATGGAGCAAAAGATTTCTGTAAAGTATCTACAGGGTGGCTCGAATGCAAGTTCCTTGGATTTGATGATTATGTGCAGTTTGAAGCCATAGCCCGAGTCCTGGCAAATAAATTAAGATCCATTTAAAATCTAAATGGAATCCAAGAGATTTATTAAAATTGATTTCTGCATACTCACGCCGACTTTCAAGATATAAGAGACAAAATCGGCCAGACTATATTTACAAATTGACAGCAGTTGATTCTCCATCAGTTTAGCAGCGCAGTCGAAAAATCTCTTAAACTCTTTTTTCTGCGTGGGAGACGGTACGAGTCCCTTCCGGTCATTCTGAAATTAGAAAAAATATAGACTGCAGTTATAATGTTCGCAATGCGAACGAAAATATTTAATTTACCAGAAGAAAAATATGTTGTATCCCGTCGAACCACGAGTTCTTCAAGATGTCACGGGCTGTTTCGATCTGACGTGATATAGTGTTTTGAAAGTTCATAATGTCCCAAGTCTCGGTGGCACTCTTTATTTCGTCAAGATCAATCAACCGGAAGGACCTGAGAGTATGAGAATGAGCCAATCAGTATCTTGAGGTATCAAGTAGCGTATTAATTGCTCGAAGTTGAGTGCGTGTAGACGTACTTGTAATAGCGGATCCATTGTTCTAAGGTGAATCGCATGCATGGGTTTATTAGATAAAGACCTCTCTTCAGTCTGCACCGATACAGCTGAAAATTCAGGACGAATTCTCTTGGAAAGTATTTCACTTCGTAACGTTCCTTTGTCTCGTTCCCCTATACCAGAATAAGTTAACGCTACTCAATGGTGAACCTCGTTACCCTAATTAATTGAGAAATTGAAAAAGAATGCACCAGGACCGTTCGGGCATGCACCGTGTCCCACTAAGCAGTCTAGAGAGAAAGAAAAGTAATAATAAGAAACATGCTGAGGAAAATTAAGGACCTCTTCTGGAGCATCCTGTTCGAATGGATTCTTCATAACGAAATCGACTATCGATTTCTTGATAGCGACAATAAAATTCTCCTTGATTTCGTTAATTATTGATTTGACGGACTCTGGAAATCTCTCACGAAATTTGTGGGGTATCAGATTAAGAATTTTCAATAAATTCTCCACTTCGATGGGAGCTACGTGAATAGTATCCATGCCATTACGAATGTAATAATAATAGCGATTAATTTCATTATCATTATACAAATCTAATGCCTCATTTGGTATTCCAGGTTTCACTATCAGTCCGATCAAGTATCTTCGAAAATTCTCGTTTTGCAGACGCTTTCCAGTGTATGAAGTTTCCAAGAATCTTTTCTCTCGTCTTCTGCGAACGTCGCGATTATCTTGCATGTGCTTCAGTCTTTTGCAATCTAAAGAGTCAATCAATTCTTGTGGTAATAAGAAAACAGGTTCCACCTGCTTTTTCTCTATCTTCTCGATCCTATCACTGTCATGCAGAGATCTTTTGCGGATCCCAGAAATGTGATTGCTATTTAATTTTACGTCTGAACAAACGTGTTCCATCGTTCTATTTAAATTCCAATAATATTTTTAATGTTTGAGTTTAAATAATAAAGAACGCTTCCGTCTAGAGATACAGTCGATAATTCTTGTGGAATTTTGACAGCTACGCCTTTGCTTCTCGCAGGAACCGGCCGCGGCCTCCGCAAGCTCAGCACACGGTGAGAATCTAAGCTTCAATTTTCGTGATTTTTTAAATTTTCACGAACGGTAGATTTTCTTGGTGTATTGGAGAAAGTGTCATGTCGACGGAGTTCTCTTAGGAAAATCGTGCCGAACGTTACTGTCGTTTTGTACTTGCTGGTTAGGGTCATATAGAATGCACAAGAAGATAGTGGGAGAATTCGCAATGCAATTGACTGCAGTTCCTAGGCAACCGTAGGTCATCGATTAACGAACAATTTGCGAAATTGTGTATTTCAAGTGCAACTGGTTTTGTGATGTATGAATTCCAGAAGAATTGTCTGTATTTTCATAACAGTACATTTAGGTTATGTTATGTTTCCAAGTTTCCTAGATATTTTATTTCTGTAAATACTAAGAGAATTAATTTGTTTTATATTTCTATTACAGATGATTTCTAACAGAATATTTCGTCTTATTCACACGAATGGCACCCTATGGCAAGCCACTAACAAATCTCTATTGGCTAAGCTTCGCAAGAAAACAGGGTATACCTTTACCAATTGTAAAAAGGCACTGGAATTGCATGAAAACAATTTAGAGAAGGTTTGAAATAGTTTTAGCATATACAGGACATTATTTGGATATCCGTTGCACAATCTTTTAGTACTTGGTTGCAGGCTGAGCAATGGCTAAATGAGCAAGCGCAGAATCTAGGCTGGTCAAAAGCTGCGAAGCTACAAGGAAGACCCACAGCTCAAGGACTCATCGCTGTGATTGTAAACAAGGCACATGGAGCCTTGGTTGAGATCAATTGTGAAACAGATTTTGTGGCACGCAATAAACAATTTCACAAATTGACAGAGACCGTTGCTTTGGCTGTGCTGAAGTATACCACATCTTTAACGGGCAATGATCTGGTTAATAAAGCACTTTTGGATTCTGAAGCTCTAAATGCTTTATCTGCACCTGATGGTAAATTACTTGCTGATCATTCTGCCCTTACTATTGGATCAGTTGGTGAAAATTTAGCGATAAAACGGGCTCTTTGTATGAGTGTACAACCAGGAGTGACACTTGCTGGATACTCGCATCCAGCTTCAATTCACCCTGCTTCACCAGCCCTTGGTCGTTATGGCACTTTGCTTGCGCTAAAGGGCGCTGAAAACAATGAATTATTGCCTAATCAATTGTGTCAACACATCATTGGTAATTAACTCGACTAATAGTTTCTTCATGTATAAAGATATTATTCGTAAAGAAATATTAAAATCATCTTTTGCTTTTTGCTTTGTAACAGGAATGAATCCTCTGAAAATCGGAGATCCTCAGGTGGATCAGCCGATGGCGAACATAGACGACGAAACAACGTTGATATATCAAGAATACCTCCTAGATCCAACTCTGAATGTCCAACAAGTCTTGATAGATGCCCAAGCGCAGGTTCTAGATTTTGCGCGTTTTGAAATGGGCGAAATCATCGATACTTCTCAGAGTTTAGATTCCGTAGAGACCTGTGGCTAAAAATCATAAATATTCCATGAAAAACATCCTTTATCGGTACATATAATCCCTGATGTATCAAACGAGAGAATCTTCTATCACAGGATAATACAATATTAGCGTACGAACAAGTCATCCTTATGAATATTCGCGTAAGATAATTTGCAGAGTACATCAGTAATAATAATAAATTGTTAAATATAGAACCTTAGATCGTTTTCTCTCCTATTCCAACCTTCGTACATAAGTATCGAGATACAACTACATTAGTAACAAAAGTCGATAAATTTGATTACAGTCATAAGAAGGTAAAGATATATGATAATTGTAAATAAATATATCTGCCAGACAAATAAATTTATGGCAATTTTAAGAGTTCGCAGAAAATTAATTTGCATAAAACTACAAAAAAAGGATAATATCAAAATTATTATTTGATTGATTCCTGGTCATGACTCCACGATCGAAGAATTGCTGGAGATTTTTGTTTTATTCGTTTTCTACGAGCAAGTCTAACAGATTTCCAAAGCCACATACGCGAATCCTTTTTCCAATAAGGAGCCACATCTTCGGGAGCTTGCCTGATACCCTAATTGAAAAAAAAAATCATTGATTTAAATCTTCTACAACGGCATCAATTCGAATTTCATTTACTTGATAGTTTAGTATTTCAGGTCCTTGAATGACAAGGCGCAATGAGGATATCTCTCGAGTTCTGAATCCTGTGACAGGCGCGTGACGTTCCAAACATCCTGCACAAGGACATGTCTGAGCATCCTGAGTCTCAGTCAACGGTAACATGTTCTCCTTCGATTCTGCACCAGTACCCAATTCTAATCGATCGAAAGCGGATGTAAAACTTCTGGATTCTCTGCATCCTCCCAAAGTAACCTATATTCCCAAAAAAACAAATTTGAGAAAAATAGTGCAGCGAAGCAAGGCAGGTCATCGCACTTGCACTCCTTGGCTGCAGACGTTGCAGCCTCCAGGAATGCTTTGATCGCTTCTGGATTTGGCCAACGTGGTCTTGTCCTCCCACATAAAATTTTCAACTAAAAAGATAAGAAGCACAAAAGGATATTGCACTGGGCGGTGCGAATACAAAAAAAAAAAGAAAAGTAGAGATTATATCAAGAAAATGTACCGCTTGAATAATCGGAGTCCTCATTACGCCAGTCCATCGGACCGTGGCAAGTACCAGGGTGCCTCCAGAAAAGATCTCACTGATTTCCTAGAATCAGCTGACAAGACCAGTGTCTCATTTGTTTCTTCTTTCGAGATTACACGTAGATTCTTGTTTCTGAAAAATCAAACGAAAGTATCGCGCTATTCTAATTCAACCTGAAGAGTAGATCATCAATAATCAGAGTGAAAAGTGTCTAAGTGTCGGCTCATTACTCATATTCGATACAGATGCGCGATAAAACGAATCTCTAATGAAGAGACTGGAAATCACACCTGGTATTTTTGATGATTAAAAAAAATCCATTGATTCGGAAAGCCATGAATTTTAATAAGAATTCTGGCTGCGAAAGTCTTAAAACTAAAACGAAAAAGGACTCTATAATGAAGAATGAAATTGTTGCCCCGAACACGGTTTTCGTAATCCAAAGAGCGGCCGGTAGGAACATTCATGCAGGCAGGTAGGCAGCAGGTGCGTTAGATAACTGGGAACGTAAGTGTAACCCGCATAGGAGGTATAGGAGGGTATTCATGAGGTGCCCGTTGGTCACGGGTGGCCGCCCGGAGTTCCGGGCCCATTTCCGGACGAGTCCAGCCTACGTATGGTTTCTTTTTAGTCAGAAACGTATCAGTTGTCGGTGAACTGTTAGACAGTGTTCGCGTGGTGCATCTTGCTCTTGCTAACCTGGAGGAACCGTTGACTTTATTGGCTTGGTGAATAATCGAGATAGCGACTTGAAAAGGGCCCAGGGCCCATCTAACTTCCCATAAAATGGGATTCTCTAAAAGGGTAAGTGTGGAGCTTGAGGTTCGAATGATTCTAAAATTCAAAGAATATTTTTGGGTTTATTATATCCCAGAAATCTTGTTTGGCTCGCGCTTGACTGTCAGTGTCAACGTCACGTGCCAATCGGTATCAAGAGCTGCTGGTAAAAGTGGCAGCAATGGTATCAGTTATAACAGGATCACAATGTTATAACTCGAAGCCATTATTCGTCCTGCCAATGTAAATCCGTTAATCGGCTGATTTTGCCAGTTTGTTGAAACTCAGTCGATATCGCGCAAGACTTTATAGAGTTTTCGAGTATGGTTTTGGTTCAGTACCAAGTTCATTTACCGATCGACGACGAGTAACTAGCTGTTCCGATATCGAACTCTAAACAGGAGAATTAACTGAAATTAATGATCCGTCTTATCGTAACGCGAAGTCCTCTTGACACAATTGCTTGGCCAATCAGGCACGCTCTAGCTACGTACCTGGCTGGCCAGTCCTTCAAACGAGAGAGCGAGAAAAAGACTCCACTAGTTCGGAGTGTTTATTTTCTCTTTAGCTGTTTGGTCAAAACTTTATCCCGTCAGGACCTTCATGCTCTTGCGAGCATGTCGCTGACCGTCGTACTTAATCCTGAAAATTTTCAATTTTCCAACCAGGATGACAGGAGTTGTTGCTCCGATGACTCTGGCAGTGAGGTCTTCAGGAGCGTACCCAAAAATACCACCACTTTTTGCGTATGGAGAATTGAGGTGGGTCCCATTTAATTACTTGATTAAATTATCTAAACGATATAATTCCACAGTTCTCGCTCTTTATGGTAGGGACTGCGCGCTATTTCTGTGGCCAGAAATAAAATGGGGATGTTCCTTTCGGAATCAGCTTATATTATTTATACAGTCACATCTAAGGATGGCAATCCTCCCTACCCTGGAATATCGGTAATTTCATTCACCGCTTCTCATCCATAAACTCGACATAGCAAAGTACACAGTTAATTCCGCATTTAAATTGAAAATATAGTCAAAGGAAGTGAAGGATCCGGCTGTAAGATGTATTCATTTTTGGATCGGATCATCTTGCGACGCGACTATCTCAGGAGCGGCTGCTCTGAGAGCAGCAGAATTGGATGCACTGGTGTCAGCGACTATTCTTCTGCGAGAAGCACAGGGTCGCGAAAGTCCCAGATTTCTTGCCTACTTCCGGCATAAACTGGTTATCGAGAACATCCACCAGGATCGTCCCACTTGCACACTGCACAGAGTAACTGGATTGAGCATGCCGATCCTGACCGAACTGAATAGCGTTCGATGGGAGAATTTTAGTTCTAGGGATGTTATCCTCATAGACCTCCAATCTAGGTACTTGATAGACTCTGCAGATTTTCTGAAAACCTCTTATAACGGGTTAAGCACTCGTTAAAAATCCAATTCACATTAAAGGGGCGTCGTTTTCCTGTGGTTGGGCTCGTCGGCAAACTCGCTGCACAAAAAACACGCCTGGAACCTCTTAGAATCTACAAAAGAGAATAATGGCAACAGACGTATTGTGGTCGTCGATGATGGTTATGAGCAGACCCTACCCAACGAAGACAGAAATCTACTCAACAGCATTTTGGATCTGAACTCCAGGACCGTCGTACCTGAACACTCTCCTGGATCTGTTCTGGCACTGAGCCCAGTAAAGCTCTATAGGTGTAGTGAACAATCTGGGAAGTATAAGGTAGCCGAAGTAAAATCTGGTCCAATCTTTAGATCGGATTTGTCTGCATCCTCCGTATTTCTGATTGATCGCGGAGAGGCAGGCGTTTGGGCATGGGTCGGAAGTGATGTAAATGCTAGAGAAAAATTAGAAGCAGTCAGAAATGCCAGAGGATTTGTCAAGAAAAAAGGATACAGCCCCAGTGTTCCTGTGGCCAGAGCAGTTCAGGGTCAGGAGCCAACGGAGATGAGATCATTGCTGCGCGGTTGGGGACCTCCGAAGACACGACCTCTGACGTTACCGCCTCGTTTCGAACCAGATTACATGGCTGAGAGACCTCGAATGGCTGCCGAGTGTCAATTAGTGGACGATGGTTCCGCTCGGAAGACAATTTGGAGAGTCAATTCAAAAAATGGCATGATTCAAATAGAGAACAAAGGAATTTACTATGCTGAAACGTGCTACGTAATGCGCTATGAATATGGCACTGGTCGTAGGAGTCGAGTCATTGTGAGTATTACCATATAATTTCGCATTACGAAAAAGAGAAACAATATTTGGCTGAGTTTTAATAATCCTGTAAATAGATATACTACTGGGAAGGTGCACATTCCACCAGCATGGACCGAGAAGCTGCTTTGGAGTCAGCGTGCAACCTGGCCGAAGACACTTCGGCCCAATTGGTCAAAGCATCTCAAGGTAGAGAACCTGCCCACCTTCTGCAAATCTACGCAGGCAAACTGATAATCCTTGCCGGACCTCATAGAGATGAGGGTAAGTTTTTTCAACCAACTGTTCCAGAAATTCAAACTGTTAATAACGATGCGATACAATTATTTCCTTCATTTTCAGCGCCAAAAAAATATCTTGTGAGAGTCCTAGGATCCACTCCGTATACGTCGAAAGCAGTCGAGAGACCTTTACGGGCGAGTAGTTTAGATTCAAGTGGAGTTTTCGTTCTCTTCTCAAATTGCCCTGCAGTCTGGTGTGGTGGTAGAAGCACCGGCGATGCTAGAGAGGCGTCGCGACGATTGGCGCCAGCTGCCGCTCCTCTGGTTGTAGAAGGAAAAGAGGACGATGAGTTCTGGACGCAGATTGGTGGTATGCATAATCGATAAACTACAATCAAATATAGAAACATTTAATGCACAAATAACAAGGATGATTTAGGTCGAGGAAACTACGGCACCGAGACTACGGAAGACATGGAGGAGACTGAAAATCATTTATATCATTGTCATACGGAAGGAGGAGCCTTTCTAGGCGAAGAAATTTTAGGGTTCACTCAGAGCTCCTTACTTCCGGAAGCCGCGTGGTTGCTGGATGCCGGCAATGTGGTCTGGGTATGGCTGGGAAAATATTCGGTGATTAAAACTCTTAGAGAATGTATCGACTGCGCGACAACATTCTTGTACACACATCCGGCTGGTCGGGATCGCAACACATCCATCTCTGTTGTTAGACAAGGTACTCAAATAATTAGAAATAACGTTTAAACTTTTCGTAGAATTACGTAATTGTGTTTTTCAGGAGTAGAGCCACCGACATTTATAGGATTGTTCGAAAATTGGAATCACAATCTTCTCCGCGATCATCAGCCATTCGAATCGCAGAGATTGTCCTTACAAGATCAGGAACGCATTATAAGTAATGTTTCATCTACGAAAAGTATTACTGAATTTGATGCTTTTATCAAATATCCTTTTAAAGTTTTGAAAAGTGAGCCGGATTCTTTGCCAAGGGGTGTAGACGTAGCCCGAAAGGAAATGCATCTAACGTTCGATGACTTTATGACTGTCTTCAAGATGGAGCCTACTGAATTCGAAAAGTTACCAGCCTGGAGAAGACAGCGACTGAAACAGGCAGCTGGATTATTTTAAACCACATCTTGCCGTATCGAGCAATTATAGCAATCGCTAGTCTGCACAATGTTCGAACTTATCATAGAACAGAGGAACGTATTCCTGTGTCAATAAATTATTTTGAAAAATTATATTTTTTTTATGCAGCAGGATTTGATCAAATTGAAATGCTAGTTTATTTTGACAAATTCGACATTTATTGAAGATTTAATATTAAAAAAAAAGACATTGTATACATGACTTAAGAGGAAGTGTCCATTGATTCCGTGTCTACCTTGCAGATTGTTTCCTTCTCGATGATTATTGGACGAATTGTCTGGGCTAAAACGGCAGTCGTGCCGCGTTTGTAACGGTACGATGATTGCTTCACTCCTTTCACGTTTGCGACATCGTATGGTCGAATATATTCGACCGAACCTTTGCGGATGATGCACAAATCTACATTGGATCCTGAAGCGAGGTCATTAAAAACACCAGCTCGAATGGCGTCAGCTACCAACTCCTTGCCTTCCTCCTCCTATAAATTAAGTACCACAAATCTATAGTACAGAACAAAACAAACAGCTACATAGACATGATTGTTCTACAAACCGATAATCCAGGCTTCCAGCGACTCTCAAAGACTGCCATAGCTGCTAATGATCCAGAACCCATGGTGGTATATTGTTGTGTATCACTGGATCCATGAGGGAAAATACAGTGAAGATGTGGACCATCTAAATCTACACCACCTAGAACAAGGGCTGCTCCAATATGCCCTTGGTGACGGAATAATAATTGTTTGAGCATAGCATTGGCAGTGCATACAGGAACAATACGTCCTGTATTCAGGCGATGTAGCTCTAACTGACTGGCAATCATCTGAGAAGTCATGTCAGTGTCAGCAGCAGTTCCTGCTCCGCAAACACTATGTAACAACAAATATTAGGATTCAACTAAGTAGGTTCAATAAGTTCATAAAATACATACTACATGTTTTGGGCAAGGTAGTGAATCTTTCTACAGTTTTTATCTGCCACAATGGTATCCTCAGTTGCTCTTGTATCAGCACCAAGAATTACCCCATCCTTATAAACGATACCAGCAATCGTGGTACCAGTTTTTATAGCTTTTGGTACCTGAAATCCCTTTTTAGAGAGGAAGTTATTCCTGTAACCAAGCGAATAGTGTCCTTATTGTATTTCTAATAGAGTTACCTATTAAATCGTCCACATCAATTTGTGTTCAAAAAATTCAACTGCCAAATGACACAGCAGTATTGCTTTGCTGCAGGTTATATGCTAAGAGTAAACTAATGCTGCACAAACGCCAATTCCATTTAGAAATAAACACATATCAAGTCATACCTCTGACAGAGATCGAAAGAAAATCCTGGAGCCGGAATTTCGGGTACTAAAACCGATGACATGATTTCTAACGATTTCCAACTATTCACACAACGACAACTGAAATGCCCAGTCACATTCACTCACTATTCGAAAAATGGCAAGAGTGCATCAAAGATTGTCCACACATCAGAAATGAGTAGCGAGATCCATAACGCTACGGTTTTAGGCGATACCAAAAGCATGGCGCTAAATCGTAGCGGCGTGTCTGGAAGTAGGATTTCGTGTTCACCTTAGTCGACAATGCGAATCCCGTCGTAGCCGAGCAAAACGTGAACACGAATGCGTAACTCGGCGGCCAGAGGTTCTCCGCTATTCACCGCTGGTTCCTAAAGCAACCCTTAGAACGAGACCGGGAACTATAGAAACTCTCAAGAACTATTGAAAAAGCCTATCGTTGAAATATTTTTAAGACATTTTTAGGAAAGTGCAGTGTAAACTTGACACCCGTGTAGTACCTCAATTTTATATTTTGAATAAATTTTGAAAGTAAATCAAGATCCAATAATATTTAGTAGTATTCGAAAATCTTTATTCAATGTTTCGAATTTTCAATATTTCTGTGCAACTAATTTTTTTCTTCTCTCTTCCTTCTTCTTCTTATTCCTTTTTAGCTTTATGCCCTCATAGAGGACCAAGTACCCTCAAGTGTTGAAACATTTTTCAAAAACTAAAATACTACACGGATGTCAAGTTGGCACCACACTTTCTTAAAAATATCTTAAAAATGCCTCAACAATAGGCTTTCTCAATAGTTCTTGAGAAGATCCGTAATTACTGGTCTCGTTCTAAGAGTTGCTTTGGGAACCAGCGGTGAGTAGCGGAGAACCTCTGCCGCCAAGTTGCGCCTTCGTGTTCACATTTAGCTCGGCTATGACGGGATTCGCTTTGTCGACGAAGGCGATGATCACAAAATCCTGCTTCCAGACTCGCCGCTACGATTTAGCGCCATGCTTTTGGTATCGCCTAAAACCTTCCTTCCCTTTCTTTCTTTATGGCTGACTCCTCCAATCAGCAGATATGTCAGATCGCCTAAAACCGTAGTGTTGTGCATCTCCCTACTCATCTCTAGTACTACGGGGACTCAACAGTGAATGTATTGGTCGACGTGTGACGTGTCGAAGTGCCCGAGTACTGCTGTCCCTGCCTGTCGGCCGTACCAGGAACTAGCCGAGGACGTCGCATACACACATGAAACAGCTTATATGTATATACTATCCGAGTGCACTGCCTCAAGCGATTGTGCAGCAGTGTTGAGCAGAGCAGGGTGCAGAAAGTGTGGGCTGCTGCGAAGTCATACCAAGTCATACCAATCCGTATTCGGAGATAGAAGCACACGTCATATCAGAGAACGTAAAGTAGTGTCACTTTTGAAAAATTCAACGAGACTTGAGCAGAGCAAACACACCACATAGTTCACTGTTACCGGCTATCAAACTGGTTGCTGGTGAAAAACGCTGCTGTACGGAACGCAGTGACGATTCTTTTGGGGATGTAGTGTATTTTAGTTGTAGTATAAAGCGTGATATTCACGATCAAGGCTCAGTGAGAAAGTAAGAGAAAAAACTACGTATATTACCAGACACGATATGACGGACAGTGGAGCTGTTTATCAACCTACCACTGTAGGATATACATACGATACGGGTGGCGATGGCGGTGGCGGCGGTGGCCGAGTCGTTGGCGGCTTCCTGGGGATACTTTCTAGAAATAAAGTCAGCTCCAGGAAGTGGCTTGAGTGGGCTCTACTACTCATCGCCCTAGTGGCGCTTGTATCTGGACTCACGACTATGCTTGTCAATCTGGTCTCGGTGGAGAACGCGCACAAGGTATTTATTGTATAAGTTATACATTTTATGGTATATTGCAGTACAGAATTTATTTTAGAGGTAAATTTTATCAATTTTTTTTCTATCAGGTGCCCGAAGCTAACACACCCGAAGCTGATTCTGGTGTGACGGGAGAGCGCGGTGATAATGGATCGAGAGGTTCCATTGCAGCAGGTGCGGCACTTATGTTGGTTGGAGTTCTTGCAGGCTGCGCTTGGGCATGGCTCAGATTTTTCCGTCCCAGCAAATCACCACGCAGCGGCCTGTCAGGTGGCAGTGGACAGGTGCGTAGGCTCGGGTACTCACCCGTCGTTAAAATCTTGCTTCGTTCGACCTTACCGAACCATCTTCTGTTTCGTTCGTTGGTTCCTTTTTTACCTTATGTACGCGTTGCTACGAGGAAAGATGTTGGGCGGTTTGAATCCATCGACTGACTTGCTGGTGGGTTCCACTTCGCAGTACGGGCCTGTACTCACGGAGCTGCCGAGTCAACAGGTGAACGCGCACGAGACACCGGCGATACCACTCTCCGATCAGGAGGAAGAGACGCGCACTCTTATGCAAGAATCGGCTGCGCCCGTTGGATCATCGGGTGGTGCTCATGCCATCGCTAACCAGATTCCAGGATGAGTACGAAACACTAACAGATCTCTGAGTACTATAGTGCAGCGAAGGGTGGACTTTGCTTAATTTGGCATCCATACAAGTTGCTGGTCCTCTTGGGTGAAAAAAGCTTGTGTTTCTCCACTTGCCAATTATTCCTCGCTCTTCTGTTCGTCCATCCGTATGGATTCTGTAATCCTTGACGTTTTTACTTTTAATTCCACTTTGACTTTCTTCACCTACAATCAAGTCCGTCTCGAGGCAATCTCGCTATTTTGCACCTAGTACCGAATTCGTAGATTCAAGATTACTTACATCAGGCATTAAAATTCTGCCTCCTTGGTAGGCCAATTATGTCGGTATTTCGTACCGAATAATAATATGGAATTCGCGTAGTGATAAAACCAGAACTTTTAGTGCACCGGCAGACCTCAGCCTTTTTAATCCTTTCCCCCCCGCCCAAACTATGCAAATTTCTTTTCTCGAGTTTGCATGTAATGTCCACTCCGTCCATCGTTATTGACATACCATTAGGTAAAGAAAACTTACCACATAAATCATGTATTTAGCGCTAATATGGAGAACTGTACGTTTGTCGGACATGTACCGTATTTTAAGTAAGTACCGTATACGCAAAACAAATAAACGACTGAAAGAATACATTGAAGGTTTTCATGTTCTCTGCATACTTTCGTTTTAATTATGATCTATTAAATATTTTTAAATGCTTTTGCATTTCTTATCAGTTACATCGAATACATTTTTGGATTACAAAATAAAACGTTTACATTGTTCGGACCTTTCTCGAACAACGAAAATCCTTATAAAAGAAAATGCTAATTAGATTAATTAGTTACTCTATTATATCTTGTCCTCCTTGTATTCCCTGATGATCTGGCAGACAACAAGACGAGGAGGTGTCAAATTGCCGAAGTTGCGCATATTGTATATACATGCATATATGTAGGTATACGGCATCGGCATTTCAGTACCGTGTTTACAAGAGAAAGCGGGAAGAGGTTACAACTAGGTTAGGCAGTTCCTGTCAATTAAACCGAATAAGTCATTCAGGATGAGTAAACGATTGAAACTGAATGTATTGACATCTTCGAAGTGTTTAAGAAGTCAAAAGAAGGTGACTGATGCCGATGCATCCTCATCCAATACTTCACATTATTTTAAGCATGATAATTTATCACCAATAAAGTCTGAAACAAAGAAGCGGTCTCCTGTTAAAATTAGGTATGAAAAGTCGGATATAGAAACCGTCATGGACGAGAAGGTCAAGATACCAACAGTATTTGATGCAAATCATGTAAAACTCGACGAGTTCGACGTGACGAGTGTGGACACTTCAAAGTCCAAGGTGTTGAAAGTATTGGACGAGAGTGATGGGAAGCTAAATGTACCGACAATTTTGAATACAAAGAATAACAAGCATGCTGTCAAGAAGAGCAAAACTGAGTGGGTACCTGATGATTGGATGCTTACGCTACAGAACATTAAAGATATGCGAAAGAGTCAAACAGCACCAGTTGATGAATTGGGTTGCCACAAATGTGCTGATCCTAATGCCAGTGCATCAGTTAACAGATATCAATGCTTAATTGCCTTGATGCTGAGTAGTCAAACAAAGGATCAAGTAACGCATGCAGCGATGGAAAGGCTTAAAGCCTATGGGTGTACACCATCGGAAATTGCAGCCACTCCGAACAATGTCCTGGGGAAACTCATATACCCGGTTGGCTTCTGGAAGGTAATACATTACCCTGTATCCAAAAGTGAATGAATATTAAATGATTATTTTTTCAGCGCAAGGTTGAGTACATTAAGAAAACTTCTGAAATTTTAATTAAACGTTATCAGGGAGATATTCCTAAAACAATAAACGAACTTTGCCAGTTGCCTGGGGTAGGACCAAAGATGGGACACATATGTATGCAAATTGCTTGGGGTAAAGTGTCAGGCATTGGCGTGGATACACATGTACATCGTATATGCAATCGCTTACAATGGGTTAAAAAGCCAACAAAAACTCCAGAAGAAACGAGAATGAGTTTGGAAGAATGGCTTCCACACCATCTTTGGAGCGAAATTAATCATTTGCTAGTTGGATTTGGTCAAGAAATCTGTCTACCGAGATTTCCTAAATGCAGCAAGTGCTCTAACAAAGATCTGTGTCCTTATGCAAGAGAGAATTCTACAGCCAAAACATAGTCATGACAAATATATTTCTTTTTGCCTTAAAGTATAAGTCTTATTAATGTAAACCATAAAAGATATATTAGTCATAAATCTTCAATAGTTCCTTTTTTTTAATTGCCCTTCACGTTTCTTCACTATTTTCTCATTCCGCCTCTTCTGCTGCATAGACTGTTTTTTATTTTTTTGACGTTCTAATCTTTGCTTCAATTTAAAGGCTTTACTTTTTTGCACTTGCTTTAAAGCGGCACGCTTTACCGCACGTTTAACTTCTTTTTTTGTGCCAAAATCCATACTGGTTGGTGCTTGTACTCCTCTATTTTTTTGTTTTGGCTCCACAGTTAATTCCATACCGGCGATCATCTCATCTCCATCTTCGTCTGCTTGTTCCTCATTTTGCTTTTCTGTATCTTCGTCGCCCTCATAAGTAACTTTGTTTTGGCCTATCCAATTGGCTTTTTCCGCCAAATCAGCGACGTTCACTTCCAAAATGCTGACCGTACGTCCTTCTACCTCGTACTCCTCTTTCGATAACAGTTCCTCTAATTCCGGTATATCTCGTCGCGATAATAATTTCTTGTATCGTTCTCGGGCCTGGAAAGTAAATTATTTCAATGTTGGTTAAATGTATCAGTGAAGAATATTTAGAAAGTAAGAATGTTAACTCACGTCTTGTTTAATTTTCTTTTTTTCTTCTTTTAATTGTCGCTGCAGTTCTTCCTGAGCTCTCTTCTGCCGCTGCACCTTCCGTTTGTGAAATCCTCCAAGGAATTCCCTGCGAAACGAAAATTTTGAGCAACGAAGCGTGTGAGGGACATACTTCTTTTATCGGAATAAGCGATCGTGTCTAAGTGCAGCGGCGATTCCCTTACCGTCTTTTCTCCTCGTCAAACACGAGAGTAATCTTTTTTCGCCTCTTGGGCTGTCCTGGTGTTCGACTAACGTCAAGCTTTCTTGGTACACCCTTAACCTTTGCCGCCATACTTTTGCGTGTCTTGTTTCCGCGTGTCATATGGTGCTACGTCCAGTGAGGTTTGGTTATGTCTGTTAATGTCAGGTAACATGGAATGTGGGTTAAGGATGAAAATACTATTAGTATTTAACCCAGGTAAATTGGCTTTTCACTCGTGAAAAGCAAGAAATCACGTGTAATATATTGGTACTGTGATGTAACGTGATAGCATTCTGAATGAAACTGGATCCTTGACGATGAGTGTGCACGAGTGTGATCCAGTGTGATCCCAGTAATACTTTTCGAGTCTCGAGAATGCTTATTTATTACTTCAAATTCTTTCTACCAAAGTTGATGAGTGTTAAATAGTTTCGTTAAATATAAATATTTGAATTGTTTGCACGCTCCGTATTGTAGAAGCATCAGCTATTCGTGGAAGCAGTAGGAAAGTAACGAGTGCGGAGTCATGCAGAGACATGTGGAGAGGTGCAGACGGAAAATGAGGAAAGTGCCGGGAAAAATGAACGTGGAAGAGACGATTTGTCGTAAACGAAGTCTAGTAAGAAGCGGATTGGTTAGCTCGAGCAGCAGGTTAGGTCTCGACACCTCGGCGGTAGGCGGAACTCTATTGGGCGGGGGCTCTATCGATTTAAATTTGGTTTGCCGGTGCGTGCTGATAGTCAACACAGCGTGCCGACTGCCGTATCGCAGTCGCAGTCGCACGACAATTCCAGCAAGCGCTCAAAAGGTTAGGCTCTTCGCCAAGAGAAGAGGTGCTGAGGAAGCCGGTACCGAGATTGTCGAGTGGCGATCGGACGATGAGCGGTAACGAGTCGATCAACTTCGAGAGTGCCATTCCGAAAATCAGGTCAGTCCATGAAGATGCACTCATAGATGTTCGCTCAGTCGAAACGCGCCCTATGACCTCTATATTAATTATAATTATCAAGATAGAGAACTTGGGAACTGCATTCTAGATTGAGTGTAGCCACGCCTCGAGCTCGCGATCACGATTCAGCAATGACTCACGACGTCTCTGGTCTTCGGAGTTGTTTCTCCCAGAATCTTTTACACGTTGCCAGTCCATGCCAGTCTAGAAAACCGATCGATCAGACTCTCACGTGCGACTCTCCAATGGGAATCGATACATCGACATCACATTATCAAAAGGAGAATCTTCCGTTTTCAATTAACGGACATGTCACGTTCGTCTCCAAACGTGGTTCATTTTTGGATTTGTATTCTTAACTATCTGCGCTTCTTTCGGAAAAATGGAGAGTCAGATTGATTGGTTATAATTATCAGTCACGTGATATGGTCGATCGCCCATGGCGCCAATTCAGCTTGCATTTTAAGATAGACTAATGGGCGCTGTGAAAATAAAGCGCACTGCATTTTTACTTGACAATTGTTTTTATCAATATTTTCAAGGCAAGAATTGCTCAAGTGGAATGGCTGGGGCTACAAGGACTCTCAATTTCGTGTCAATGAGAAGGGTATTATATCGTTTACTGGTACCAGGTGAGTGAGAAAAATACACATGTTTGAATAAGTAAAAGGCGACATTCCATCCCGACGTTTCCTTGTAATTGTATTATACAATTGGCACCTAAAGTTCCTCCTTTTGGACTTTAGCTCTAGGTATAAGTGTGTCAGGTCGAAAAGATTCGTACACGATAGGCCCTATGAAAATGGCAACATGTCACAAAGGAATTTTGCTTCTAAACCTGCTGGATAATATTTGCTCAGCTGAGGTCAGCCGAAGCTCGGTGGTGCGAAGGCAAACGAGCTATCTTTTGTGTAAATACTTTATGGAATTGGTAAACATTCATCAAAGAAAATTATCATCTTCTCCTACGTTAAGATGAAAGGCAATGCATTCGGTTTCGTCAGACTCATACGTGCCATGCATTCCATTTTAAATATTTTGTCTTCTTAGTATCCGGTCAAATGGTTATTAATTGCTATATATTAATAACTCTGTACCTCATTTGTGTCTGATTAACATTTTAAATATTCACATATCCGTTCGGTATTCGTTAACGTGTTCAGAATAATTATTAAACTGTCGTTCGTGAAACTTAATCAATAATTCATTTTTAAGGAAAAATATAAACGACTTTCGGCATCCAGATATTCCAAATAAAAAGTTTTTAGTTTACCTCGTTTGATGGAACACTAATATCTCACACGTGTCGATTTAAGGAGATAAGAAAGATAAGATAGTTTAAAAAACTGGCAGGTAACAATTGCGCCGATAGTTAGCGTTCTAGCGATACGTTATAATTACGTTCAATTACGTTTAACGCCATGACTATAACGATAAAGCTTTTGTGCTATCTTCTAGGTACCCCATTGGTAGTCGAGAATTACCATACTTCACGCGATGGGTCCAAGAAGTTTTTGACGTCGACTTGTCTATAAGAGACGAGGCCCAGCCCTTGCCTACTAACTTCCCGGAACCAATTCTTTCGGTGGAATTGCTCGAGGCCGTTAAGAAACTTGGAATTGACTATTCAACCAATGGCCTCGACCGCCTTATCAGAGCCCACGGACACACGCTGCGTGAGATCTTCGTCCTGAGGAAGGGATGCTTCCAGCGAATACCTGACGTGGTTCTCTGGCCCAGTAAGTTGCTTTCGGGATCTTCTCGATATTGATGCGATGGTGATAGCGGATGATTAACGACTTGCTTTCGTCCTTAGAATCACACGAGGACGTTGAAAGGATAGTGAAAGCATGTGCGGAGTTTGGAGCGGCTTGCATTCCGTTTGGGGGTGGCACGAGTGTCAGCGGGGCAGCCAGTTGTCCCGTGCAGGAACGCAGAACAATTATTTCCTTGGACACCTCGCAGATGAATCGGATACTCTGGATTGACAGAGAGAACCTGATTGCTTGTATTGAGGCGGGAATTATAGGTCAAGACGTAGAACGAGAACTTCGGTTGCGAGGTTTGACGACTGGCCACGAGCCGGATTCTTATGAATTTTCTAGGTAAATCTAAACCTTGTTAAACAATGCCTGCGGCATTATCCTCTTATAAGATACCAATAATATGAAAATTTGTAATAATAAAAAACAGTTTGGGTGGATGGGTCGCTACGAGAGCAAGTGGCATGAAGAAAAACACTTATGGAAATATTGAAGATCTTGTAGTCAGAGTGAGAATGGTGACGGGCCGAGTGGACGATCCTGTGTCCACTTTGGAAAGAGGCGCTCAAGTTCCACGTGTCTCCTGTGGTCCAGATTTCGACCACATGATCCTCGGTAGCGAAGGTACTCTCGGCGTCGTTACTCAGGTTGTTCTAAAAGTCCGACCAATGCCAAATATCATCAAATACGGCAGCATTGTCTTTCCTGATTTCCAGAGCGGCGTACGAGCCATGCGAGAGGTATTCCACCCGCCATATTTAACACATACGCAATACAAATTGTAAACGATCGATCTGCTGCAAAATCAAAGCAATGGAAAAACTGTTAGTTTTTTTTTATTTTCGCAGGTAGCGAGACTACGATGTCAGCCAGCCAGTATTCGTCTGATGGACAATGAGCAGTTCAAATTCGGCCAAGCTCTGCGTCCAGAAACTGGCTGGGGTAGTTCAATTCTACAAGGGCTGAAGCAAGCATATGTTACCAGAATTAAAGGTTTTCAATGGGAGAATATATGTGTCGCGACGTTGCTTTTCGAGGGTGCGACGGAGGTTGATGTGGCAGTCCAGGAACGCAAGATTTACGAGGCCGCTAAAAAATTTGGCGGCATTCCCGCCGGTGAGACCAATGGCGAACGCGGCTATACTTTAACTTTCGTCATCGCATATATACGTGATCTGGGTCTTGAGTACGGTGTCTTATCGGAATCTTTTGAAACATCCGTTTCGTGGGACCGAGCTTACGCGTTGTGCCGTAACGTTAAAGCTCGAGTCACTCGTGATTGTAAAGCTCATGGAATTCAGAAACATTTGATTTCTTGTCGTGTCACTCAAACATACGATGCCGGCTGTTGCATCTACTTTTACATGGCCTTCAATTATAAGGGTCTTCGAGATCCTGTAAGAGCTTACGAAGCCATCGAAGAGGCGGCCCGTGAGGAAATTCTTGCTAATGGTGGTTCCTTGTCTCATCATCACGGAGTGGGCAAGATGCGCGCTTGCTTCTATCCGGAAGCCGTTGGTGAACTTGGCGTTAGTCTTTACCGAGCGACTAAAGCTCATTTAGATCCGCACAATATATTTGCCGCCAGTAATTTGGACCCCAAGTACAAAGCAAAATTGTAAATATGGGCATAAGAATATTTTAATCGAAGGAAACACGTATTGTCTGAGGAGTATCCAGTAGCCAAAGAATCGGCCAGGCAGTCTCCTTGTCAGCCTGCAGATGTCCCAATTGGTGGGTCCCTGAACCTATTCCGATAAACGTTGATGTTAGAGAAGAGACGCTATCGTCTTCATTTTGGTGAAATCCCCTTCTCTGTTTCTCTCAATTGGCATCCTGCCAATCAATCGGTCAATTTCCAAATTGGTCGCGATCGGTAGATATCAAACAACCACGGACCGCAGTAATTTTGTTGGTACAAGTACAGAATTGTAATTGTGTCATCATTTTTATAAGTTATAAATAAAGAAAAAAAAAAGAGAACTCGCTTATGTGGTATTTATCGTTACACCATATAATCTACTTAACTTTGAGTCTTTTCTCGTTATGATATACATGTCTTTTTTGCATTTTTCTTTCTTTCCATCTTTAAAGTCCTTATCAATATGAACTTTCATATCTTTTCTCACAAAAATCCACTACAGATGAATCTTGCTGTACAACATGGACAAAACCGTTCCTTTCCCGCACAGAGAATATTTCATTTCCGCAAAACTTTTTGAGTGTGTGCTTATAATCTTAAATAAATCATTAATCTTAATTTACAATGGTTCGAAGACTCTATACATCTTAGGGTATTTTAATCTTATTAAGCATCAGCCTTCAACGTCAACAAAAACGAATCTAAGTCGTACTCATCGTCATATTGCTGCTGCTCCCAGAGTTCTGGCAGGATTTCAAGTACGGATCGACTTACACCGGAAACCCCGACGACTTTTTGTGAACCAGTGTCTTCTTGACACTCTGTTTTTTTTCCATTGTCCAAGGAGAACAGGTCGAATAGCTAAAACAATATTTCAAACTTAAAGTCTCTCAACAATATCTACACATTTTACGCTGGCTGTATCACCATCGCTGTATTTACCTGCTCAGTGCCCATAGTCTCCAAAGAAGCATTCTCAGTAGAAATGACGGTATTTGCAGTGAGAAGTTTGAACTTTTGCAATCCCATAATCTTCTCCTCGACGGTAGATCTTGTTATAAGGCGATAGACATTCACCACCTTCTTCTGGCCGATACGATGAGCTCTGTCCATTGCCTGTAGATCCTTCATCGGATTCCAGTCATGCTCAACGAATATGACAGTATCGGCTCCTGTTAGATTCAAACCCAAACCACCGACCTGAGTGGTCAGCAGCAAAACGTCTATAGATGGATCGGCGTTAAAGCGTGCAACGACCGAGTGTCTCTGTGTAGACGGTATGCTTCCGTCTAGTCGAAGGTAAGTCACTGTTGGTAGATGAGTACGCAGCAGATCGTTTTCCACGATGTCCAACATCGCCTTTAACTGACAGAATATCAAAGCACGATGCTGGCTCACTAGTTGTTGCTGCTGCTGTTGGCCATCGGTCCCAACAACGGCAGAAGTCAAATTTTTGTTTAACTGTTGTTGCGGCTGGGGTTGGCCGATACCACAGTCCAGTAAAAGCTGCTTAAGAGCGGGCAGCTTTGCACCGTGCTCTATATTCTCCAATGTGCTTTGCTGCTGCTTCAGGAGAGCACAAACCTAACGTGTTCAAGAGATTCTCATGTATTGTTGGGGTTCATTGATTTGACGCGTGACTCGTTCTACATTGGAGATATTCTATGTACTGACCTGCTGATATTGGGGATGACGCGGACTGAGTACCAGCTTAGGATGATTGCATACGTTACGTATGTATCGCAATGCTTCAAAGACGTGACCTCCTCGTGGATTACTCGTAGAGGATGGCGTGGATGTAGTGGACGAAGAATATAGTGGCTGAAGAGCAGCCGAATGTCGCGTACGAAAATCTTCGTACAGACGACGCTGCAGTGGTGACAGGTCGCAGTAATAATCTTGAGTAATTTTCGGTGGTAGATCTTGTAATACATCTTCCTTGTTGCGTCTCAGTAAGAAAGGTAATACCTGCACATTTAAAATGAAATCAATGCGAATGTCATAGCAAGGAATGTCTGTATGACCAAAGAAAAAAAGTACCTGTCTGTGTAGAGCTTCCATCGCAAGTGCTCCGGCTTCCTGCTCCTTGGGTCCTGCTTTGGGTTCTCTGCAGGCTAATATGGGTCGTGAGTATTTTGCTGCAAACTGTTTCTCACTACTAAGAAATCCTGGCATGAGGAAATCGAATAAGGACCAAAGTTCAAGAACGTCATTCTGCACAGGTGTTCCCGAAAGGATGAGCCTATGGTGCGCGTGAAGTCTTTTGACAGCTTTAGCGCTCTTTGTCTTTCCATTCTTAATAACGTGGCCCTCATCCAGGACGCAATAATTCCATTGTACAGCTTCGAAGAATTCTACATCCTTGCGAATAATGTCGTAGCTGGTAACTACGAGTCTATGTTGCGCTACTCTTGATCGAAATTTTTCGCGTTCCAACGGATTACCGAAATAGTGAAGCACCGAGAGATCGCGCTTCTGCAGGAATTTCTTTGCTTCGTAAACCCAGTGACCGGTCAGAGTAGGTGGACAGACTACCAAGCTTGCTGGCGCTTGCGGATTTCGATGATGATCCAGAGCGAGGATACAGAGAGTTTGCAGAGTTTTTCCCAATCCCATATCATCACAGAGAACACCGTGGAGTTGATACCGATTGAGAAAGTCCAGCCAGTTTAAACCCTGACGTTGATAGGCCCGCAATTCGGCAGCCACAGGAACAGTGAGTTCCGTGTCAGGAATGCTACTTGGATTAAGTAGTTGTTCCAGGAAGCGTCTCTCCTGTGTCTTCTCCTCACTTTAATATAAAATGGGTACTAAGTTACACGCAATATGCTGATCACACTTATGCTTAGAACATAAATAATATTGAATAAACTGACACAAGATGTGGAGGATCTCCAATCCCACCAGGGTCAAGTGGCAGCAGTTGCACGAGAGTTGCAAATGTGGAACTGCACGCGAGTCTCACCGCTTGATTCTGATCACTCATCCGTCCCAACAACGGCACCATGAACAAAACGGCATACGGTACGACTTTGACACCTAGACTTTCCACAAGACACGTCAAGGCCTCCGCAGCACCCTGTCGTCTAGCATCGACTTCGTTAGGCGCTGCTATCGTGGAACTGCCTGAATCTTTAGCACTGCTGGTCTCCAGAAGGGGAATGACACTGCGCACTACGTGTGCCATAGTCTACGATTTGGATGACACAACGTGAAATTTTTGTCAATAGACCTGTTAAAAGTCACAGTGAGGACTAAAGAAAAATACCTGCTCTGTTTCAAGGGTGGCCAGCACTGCAATGCATCTTGCAGACATGTGTCTAACAGCCTTGTAAGGATGAGCGAGTAGCGCACAGAGCCTGGGCAAACACTCCAGTGCAGGAGGCAGAAGGGTACCATGTAGACTAGGTGTGACGATTTCCAAGACTTGCAATCCAAAGACTAGCTGATTTGCTTCGTCCTGACAGTCCTCGCGAGAAGTATCATCCTTATCCGCGCCACTTTTACGCAATACCGTTGGAAATAGTAATTCCCAGAGATGCGGCAGACGTGTCGGTAACTGGGCTCCCAACAAAGTAGCTATTGGGCAAATAGAATGTAAGAAAACATTGGCGTAACTAAAGTAGGTCGCTTCGAACACTTATATGTTGTACCTATAGCTGTAAGAGCCAAAGTTGCTCCTCGACGACGTGTTCTGCAAGCTTTAGCCTCCGGTTCCTCGCAGGCTAATAATTCTTCCAGAGGAATATCGGTAGCTGGAGGTCTTCCTGGACCTCTACCACCACCGATGCCACTTCCTGCTCCACGATTGTAAGCCACTCTTTCGACGTAACGTTGACGATTATTTAGAGTAAGGATACCGTTGAAAGGATTGGAATCTGTTCCCTGTACACGTGGCGTGAACTCTACGTCCGAGCACAAAAATGTGCATAAATTTGTTGCAATCTGTAGAAGAAATATTACTAGTTACATTGCATTTCTATCAAAATAAATGTTCTTCCGAGTGGTGAGAGCAAACCTTCGGATTAGGGGAGGGTTGACGATCTGCACAGAGATCTACAAGATGAGCTAAATGTTTTGCAGCCAATTTCTGCAACTCTTCGTCTTCCTCGCGCTTGATGGCTTCCATTAATGGTTTAACCAGAGGATTCAATGGCTGTGGAAATTCTGGCAGGCAGTGTAGCATAGTAGCGGCACCGGCCAGTGCCGCCATTGACATCACATGTAAGCTTTGCTGTTGCGCCGCCGTTGCAGCTGCCCCAATTTCTAGGGCACGTCTCCGTTCCTCGAGACTTTCTATCAGCTTTGGTTTTAACTTGACAATTACTGGGTTACCGTTACTACCGCCTCCAGTCGTTCCAGGAGCTCCGCCGGAATTATTAACAATCGACGCACCAGGAATTGCCTTCCCGGCCAGAGTAGCTATCTGCTCAAGTGTCATAACTCCGATGGTTGTATCGACATCCACGGGAAGGGGCAATTTGTAATGCTTCAACGTAGCGATGTAATCTCGGCTATCGTGTAATAATCTAGTAAAAGATCCTGCTATTTCGTCGTAATACACACATTCGTTTAGGCAACCTAACAGTTTATCCCTAGAAGAAAAAGGAAACTCTGTACAGATTTTATAAACATTAAGGTATTTTTTTAGGCATTTTAAAAAAGCTACCTGAGAATATTTGGTATTGCAGGTGGATTAGGATGCTCAAGAGCAGCCCAGTGAGCCATAGTAAGACCAACAATAGTGCGCTGAAGGGCCGATCTCGATGTTAAATGTGCCAGAAGCACTTTAGCATAACACAGAGCGGGACTAGGTATATCAGGTGTGTAAATTACACCAGGTGCTGGTTGTACAACGTAGCGTGAAAGCAAGCCGAGCATTCTGGCAGCCATACAGCGTGCTCGCACCACGTTAGAATGTCTAGTGCTTTGAGCTACAGTCTCGATTCCACCAATATAGACTTTAAATTCAGAAGTTGACTTTGCGCTCCCGCTGGCATTGCTATTACTTCCAGAATCGGATTGTCCATCACCGTTTCCGACAGACTGACCAGTTTTTGCTCCTCTGTAAAAGCAAAATTTAGGAAGTGGACGGTGAGAAATATAAAATCATGTGCTGCTCTGAAGCGGTATGATTACGCTTAATCTACCTGGTGTTGGGCTGCGCCACTATGGCAGTCAATAGCGCAGGATTAAACGGCGCGTGTTCTGGTTGCATAGCAAAGCACAACCAGGTGCTCACTAAAGGACAGGCTGCGTGTAGAAGTAATTCTAAATCGCTATGCACAAGCAGATTCTCCCAGACACGTTCAGCAACTTCTTGAATAGCCGCGACATGCTCTATCAACACTCTCTGAAACACTTGTCGCAGGGCTTCTTGCAGAACAACGCTGCCTCCTTCGCCCCAACGTTTTTTTCTGTCCTTGTTATGCTCTTCATCCTCTCCCGTTAGGGTTTGCAGAGTCTGTAATGTGGCCTTTCGCACACTTGAGCTTGAATGACCGAGGAATGGCCACAGTCGTGGTAATACCTTTGATGGGGAATGCATTCAAATACCATTAATTTTCCAAGTAAAATTGTATTACACTCTATGGCAGTGATTTACTGTGATTACCTGATACAGAGGTTGCGGTGCCAAGCAGGCGCGTGCTGCAGGTAGCGACAGCACAGCAGCTAAAAGTCCCATGAAACTATTACAAGCAGCAGCTAGATCATCTTGTTCACGCAGTAGCTCCCACAAACGTAATATGACAGCCTCGAGTTGGGTGGAGTCAAGAAGATTGGGTAAAAAAGAGGCAACCGGTATGAGAGCGCTTGCTGCCGCAGCGCCGACATCGTCTACCGGATCAGCGAGTCCTCGCATTGCCGCGGGAAATGCTTTTGGTAATATTTCGTCGAGAAGATCATCGCGCACAGCCAGTAGATACTTCAGGGCCAGCAAAGCTCCATGTCTTGCTTCCCATTCGTCATGTTCCAGAAGTTTTAGCATTACGGCCAGCACTCCCATAACAGCATCGTCGTTCGGCATCAGTCGCAACAGAGTACCCAAGGCCTGTGCACAAGTCTCGCGCACTGGTGCTACTACTTGATCCGATACGAAATCTCCAAATCTATCAAGTCCCAAAACACATAGTAAACGCAGTGCAGCATCAACTATCCACCGCCGGTGACTTTCCTCCATTTCTTCTACGGTTTGATCCCTTGATTTTCCAGCTCCTGAATAGTATTAGTTTAATAGAGCTAAGAGTTTTCAAGAAAGCTTTGAAGAAGCTCTAAATAATTTGAAAGCATCGCTTTTTACCTTTCCCGTGCAGGCGTACTAGTTCCCGTAGTGCTGTCGCGGCACCATGACGTATTTCCCACTTTTGACTGAAGAGATCCTGACAAAGAGTCTCAGCAAAGGACTCCAACGGCCAGTCGATTGTAGAATCCGGCCAACACCCTGTCCCGTCTGGAACACTATTACTGGGTTCACTTGATGGACCGCAACTCCACGTAACTTCTGGTGAGGTGACCTCGTCCGCCTTTATTTTTTTCGCAATTGGTTCTTCAACACCGCTACTTTGTATTTGATTTTTTGGTCGATTTGAACTGTGTTCCTGAGCATCATCTGGCTCCCGAGATCTCTGTTTAGATACGGACTGTCGTGCCTATGCAAAAATCCCTTATTTAGTAAATAATAAACGATATGCCTAATGTAGGCCCGAATTATATGTATAAGATTACTAACTTTGCGTCGTGCTCTATTCATTTCTCGGCTACTCAATCCACCAGATTCATGGAGAGTCTCATCCACGGACACTTTATCTGGTGATTTGTTACTAGGCGGTATTGGTACGACGGGAGTCAAGTCATCTGCAGTAAATAATTCAGCAGTATCAATCCCCATTAACTGGGGATGTAAACCGAGTTTGGCCGCAATAATCTTTTCCGACTGTTGGGGTGCAGATTGCTCACCACCCTCTGAAACTACTAGATCATATTCACTGCCTTCTGAACCAGTGAGATGTGTACTACGAGCGAGTATGCGACTCATATCGAAATCTTCCAAACTCAATCTGTAATTAGTTGCTTTGCGCTGTGCTACGTTTTTCTCTGGGGACAACAACAAAATTAGTCAAATAACAAAAAAATTATGTAATTACTATCAATGTTTTACAAAGAACATTGTGAGCACAATATAAAATTGTACCTGCGTTAGATGCATGCTTGCATGGCTGTGGATCCCAAGGTGGGACTTGCGCTAGTATCGCTTGGACAGCATGTGCAGCAGAAACCCTGGTATCCCATTGTGGTGACTTTAGTAATGTCGAGACTCTAGCTAATAAGTGATGCAATTCATGTGGGTGTAGCCTCTGTGCTTCTCCCAATTGCAGCGCAGCAGCCCTTTTTGTTACTGCATTTGTCCCTGTCTCCAGTAATATGAAGAGTCTGTCTAGCCTAGACATTTTCAAATGATGCAGAAGTTATAATGCAGCTTATAGCATTAGCATCATGTATTTCCTTATAATTATCTGTGTGCTAATGCTCCAGGTGCACCAAAATGTATAAAAAAAAGGATGAAAAAACTTACCTTGATGTCATGATCGTCTAAACTTTAGACAGGTTCTGCTTGGATATCTGAAACAGAAAAGAGTAATTTTTTTTTAAATTGTTGCTACTACACGGCATTAAATGAGTCAGTGCTCTATTATCTAAGCAGAGTAAATATGTGAGAAAATAAAATTGGCTACTAAAAAGGAACAAAGCACTTGCTCGCGGCTACAAACTTGAACGAATGTATCTTGGCAAAGAAAGAAAGAGAGAGAGTTGATGTTGATGAAAAAACACGAAAATAGTAACAAAGTACGTTATCTCCATGGTCGTATTTTTATACACCAAGAAGCGTGAATGCACTGGCCATAGTGGCCGTTTGAACTATAAAATGTGCGGCTTTGAATGCCATAACACGAAGTCAAAGAACAACACAATATGGATATAACAACAAGAGAGAAGTTTTAGCAGCAGCTTACTTGTTGCTATATAAAATAATTAAACGGTTAAGCCCTCTTCAGCTAACTCGCATAGCCGTTTCCCACCGTGTTGATTCTACAAAAATCACATCACGTTTGGCCTTTAATAAAAATCGACAGGAACACGAGTGACACACCAAATTATTCGGAGAGAAACGCATGTTACAAGGATCAAATTTATACTGACAGCCATATTGCTGGGGAACCTGAGTTTTGTCCCCCGATTTTCGTCCTATTGGCCGATTTCTTACATGGCGTAAGGTATACGGCACTATGTGGCCAATCGGCATGTTCTTCGGCCTTAAGACTCTACTGAGATCCACGTGAACGGTATTAAGCGCCGTTCACACACGATATTCGAGTCCAAAGTTGCTCCATAATTAGCTCTAGCCGTCCTAGCCAATTGTAGCACTTCTCATTATGCTTGTTCAAAGCGAATAACGGCTTACACTTAATGTAAATTAAATTTTGAAATTCTGGCATATCTCCCTTATAAGCGTGGGAGCCATAAGGAGAAGAAGTTTCAAATTATTGGCGTCTGGCGGATCTCTTATTATAGGAAGTAACTCTGTTAGCACAAATATCGAAAGGGCATCTTAAAGACGATTTCGAGACGTGATTTGGTCTGAAAACGTTTAAAGTCATCTTTAAGACAGCCTTTGGACGGCTATACTTGCAGGAAAATTACAAATAGCTATAGGGAAGAACTACTTAATTTGAGCCTGATTTACGACCACTGATGGGTGTTACATAACCTTAGTTGGTTAAACCATGGCTTTCATAATAATAAGAATTATGATACCATCGAGTATGCAATATGTATTGCGAATTGGTTTATTGTCTATGCGTGTGAAATATATTTTAAATTATGATTTCAAATAAATATTTTTTTAGTATTCTACGAATTATTATGAAGATTATAATAATTATCTTCTTAAAATAATGTATATTTGGTACATTTGTGATTTGGATAGAAAAAGATCCTTCTTAATAAGATTTTGTTAAAGACGTATAATGCAGTAGAATATGAACATCATTTTTGATTGCATTTGTAATAAGATGTTATTGTATTCGTTTAGCTTTATATGTACAAAACATGTTTCAAAGTGACTGTGATGTGTATATAAGGATGGTTATATAATTTTTGTTAAAATACATTTGAACTGTGTACTATCTTCAGTGGTATTTATTTAACGAGAGAAAATGGCAGAATACATTTAAATGAATGGCTACAATCTATTTCTTCTGCCAGGAAACAACATCGTTTAGTGGTACTTGTAGTTTCGGTGTGCCTCTGAAATATCAAGCAACATTCATCCTTGTCAGCTTAATGGAAAAATAAAGGTATAGAAAAATATAAAAAATGTAAACTTTCTGCAAACTTACTGATCTTTTTATAATTGATGGTATAAAAGAATGCCATTGCAGCAAAAGTTATATGAAAAAATCCAGCAATCCCAGATCGCTTAGGCTGGATGTACTTATGTTGCCAACGCCAGAAAGCTGTAACAGGAATTGTTTATAATAGTCACATTTATTCAGAGTTCAATACTCGCAAGCTTCGCGCTCCGAATCGTACTGTTATATAATTTTATGGATTCTCTTCTAAAAATTAAGGTTATGCAATTTTACACAATACGATAGAATGCAAAATGGTAGACTTCGAAAAAAAAAATGTGTACCTCGTGAAATAAGTGCAGCGGTGGCCTGAGGAGACTTCTTGCGACGTGAGAACCAGGCGCCGAGATCACCAAGTTTTACCTGACTAAATGGGGTATCAGCTGTCGAGGAGGAGATTGAAATTTACACTATGATGCTCAGACTTCAGTCAAAGTCAATACATTTTTCTTATAGCAGTGAGGCACTTACGTTTTCCATAGTATCGTGCAGGATCATAGGTACCGTGCACAGACGGGTTATATTCCGCCGGATATTCTCCAAAACCCATCTCGAATGTGTTGAAATGGGTCGCCGAATAAGGACCAGTAGAGACGATCAAATTCGCCGAGGACAATCGTCCGTCTAGTCCGAACCACGAGTTATCTAATATAAACGTAGAAATGGATGCTTTCCGATTGAAGAAAATCAATCGCGTAAGAAAGTAGCGCTACGAGACGGATGCCATCGGAACCAAGCACAACCAAGGTAAAACAGAGAACAATATTTTTTGCAATACAATTTATTAGTATCTACACGCGAAAAAAAAACAGGTGTCCGATTATAAATAATTTTTGTGAAAATATGAAAAGTGAATAGGTGTGAGCCAATCACGTGCTGAAATTGAAAGAAGGCAGCGCAACGATTGGATAGTCTACTTGCTTTTCATATTTGCATAAAAATTGTAAAAGTTTATAGTCGGGCCCCAGAGCGAGCTAATACGACTCACTCATAATTCAGTGTCTCTTGGTGCGGATTCTCGGTTACCGAACCAGACTCTAAAAAACATCTGCTTTTGTCGGCAAAAATCTTCGATTTGAGTTTTCATATGTAATGTACTACAAAACATGATGCAACGTAATGAATATTTATTGTAAAATGTAAGATTTTATAGAAGAAACATGGTTATAAGAGAGAACTTAGGACGTAGAATGTTACATTGGAAGTATCGAGCTTCATAATCTGTTACGTATGAGAATAATTACAAAGTCAGATGATCGGCTTTATCTCCACTTGGGAGCATTTACCAGTACATTCAGTCTCTTACTATACCTACATCGAATTACGTCTGACGCATGTTTCCTTAGATAAATCGACGAAAAGGGTTGAGACAATTAAGTGTAATTTCACTAAATAATTCTCACGAGACGAAATAAAATTGCATTTTATATGAAAAAAAGAAAAAAAAAATTGGAATGTAGGGTTGATTATGTAATGTACGGATACCTCGCTATAGTTATTTGTACAGATAATTCGCCGAATAAAGTTCTTTGGAGGATAAAAAATATTCATCTGGCTATCCACACAAATGGCCACAAGAAGAACATATTTCTAGTTTCCTAGTCTCCTCACAAGGAACTTCCTGCATAACTTAAATCTGACGATAGCTACGTTCTGTCCATTATTGTTAAATTCCCCATTCTTTATTACTCTATTCAAGTCATAATATCAGCTGTAACAGCTTTTTAAGTAGGTATTGTTGTAGCATGTTTTCCTTTTTCCTCGTTTAAACTCAAAAATCTGTAACAGCTGTCTGACAAGATCGACCAATTATGATTGCACTTGATTTCAGTTGACGAATATATACCGCTATCCTTACAATTATACTTTATCAAATAGACATACATTCAAATGCAAACTTCTGAATTGCTGCTTAAATGAACAGTTAATTAAAGTGGCTGCGCTGGCTAGTCATTCCTAATGCTGTTGGGGTTGAAGTCGTGATTATGTCTCTGTGGAGAAATAAGAGGAAAGTAAGATTAGCTAGATCTCATTTTGCCTGATGAAGACGCATTTTGACGTTCGTAAGCTCGATTGTTTTTTGTGTAGAAGGGGTATGTATCTTTTTTGCACTGTTATTAGCCGTGTTTGCTTATTAAAATTAAAAGAGATCTAAAGAGGCAAAACGTGGTGTGCTTATCGCATTTAGCCTGTAGAAAAATACATTGACTATCTCAAAAATAGAAATGTATCATTCAAGACATTCTTCTCCTACGCGAAGTAGTCTTATTCGTGAGAAATTCATCAGGTTTCTATTAATCTCTTTCCTTTTTGTAAGTTTATAGTTTACGGTGATTAGCGTACCGATAAAATTCTGAATTCGCTTGTGATTTTCCCAACACATTATTTAGGCGTCCTTACGCACTTTACGTCTCTTTGCGCATCTGAACATGATGTGGCATGACTTTTTTAAGCTACTATATTCTCAAGATGATTACTTCCACTTGCATTCCTCTTATTTCTCGTTGTTCGATTCGGATTGGGATTGTGCATTGTAAATTATGAAAAGTCATCGAGTGCGAAATTTTTGCGACTTCCCTATTCACACCTACCAATAGCTGCGGTTTGCAATTCGTAGCTTTGGTATTCGACTTATTCACAGATGGGACAGGGAGGCTAAGACACTTAAAGAGTATGAAAAAGACGTCGGAAACCCATCTTAGAAACACGTGACATCCTTCGCAAGTAGTTTCCCTGGTGAACTCTTCCCATCGTTTTCAGCGAGATCTATATCGAACGGCACTGAGTTTGAGATCGTCCTATCATCTCTGTCGTCTTCCTCGTTAAGTATGTTGCACATCATACGATCATCGTAGAGGGAAAATCTCGCTGTTGATTGGCCTCTGCCGCGCATTTTTCTCACGGAGGGTGGAAGATCACCAGGTGTCTTTATTCGGATATTCGGATCCTTTAGTATATTCAAATTCGCACCAGTATTAAAAACTTCGTTGAACTTATCGATGCTTTCTTGGCGGGTGAATTTGTTGTCCGTTTTTCGTTTGTTCCTCAAATTCTCTAAGGGTAATGTTGACGGCCTCACCCCTGATGCGTTATCGTTGTCGCTTTTTTGCATGCTGCTCTGAACAACGTTCTTGTCATTTTTTCCTGATAGTTCGATGGACGTTGAACTTTTACCAACAATTCCATTGACATATTTACCACTCGGAGATATCGTCACATTAGTATCCACGGCTTTGCTCTGATGAACATTCTGTTTCGAAAGAAGATTGGATTTTGAATCCTCTCTATCGATTTGGCACTTGGTGTACGGATGCATCTTCTTATGTACAAGAAGTTTCTTGAAATTCGACCATCCGCCAAATTTCTTTTTCCGTGGACTCTCTTGAGAGCAGGTCTCGGGCATATTTGTTTGCTTACGTTTACTGTAAAGGGGTATACCGTTCTCAGAGATCACGTTCTGTACGTACGGAATAGGAGTGGCAGGTCTGAGTTGCGCAAGTTGAGTTGAATGCTGACTCAAATAATCATGAGATACGAGACCCTGTACTTCGCTGGACAATCTATACTGATCATTGGCTGTGTGCTTTAATGATTTATCCACCAAAACATTGCCATTGCATCTGAGCTCTTCTAGAGAGTCGGACTGCGACATCAAATTTCTTTCCATGCAAGGATTCCTGCCTTGATAAGGTTGTAACGTTTGATTGAGGTTGCACGTAGCCACTTCGTTCGAATTTTTGACTGGTATAAAGAGAAACGAAGGAATGCTTAGTAAAGACTTAGTAAAAACTTAATAAAGAGTAAGGCATAGAAAGGAAAATGAACTTACAACTGTGCTCGTGGGGGACACTCACAGTTGGAGACAATGTAACCAGATTGTCGACGGTAGCATCGGCACTGGGGATATCTTGCATGATATGCAAGGCGAGCTGAACTACGTGAACATTGTCATGATGTTGTGCTTCGCTATATAGGCTATTGGTGGTTGAAGGCACAAGAGCACAGTGGGGATTTACCATAGGACTACCATCAGTAAAATACATTGTCACTGTAAAGAGTCGAAGAAAAATAAAGTCGTATGCGTCTTTTTTTCAATATGCAGCACGAGGACGCTTACCACGATGCGACTGCAGTTCCACTAGACGTTCTTCAATGCAAAGAGCAGTAAGTCGAGCCTCAGCATCCGAATCCCAACAATCTTCCATTGTTTCTCGGATCAAGCGGACTCCGGGTCTGTCGACTAAATTTCCATCTAACAAGGGTCTCGCCTTGTTACGAGAAACGAGAACCTGCATTTGCTCAAATGTAGGATGAAGACCTAAACATTACGCGAGGATAAACACATCATAATAATGAAAAAATAAGTGCTTTGATACAAATTCAGGCAAATACTAGCCAATTTCATTTTCGAAAGGTTGCTTGTACGCTGGTACTTCTGATCCTGGAACATATATGTCGGAGCAACGGGAAACTAATTCCCAAAGTACCAGACCCATAGAATATACATCTATTTGTTTTAACGAGCTTTCACAGTCCCTTAAGTTCACCGCACCTTCAAGAACCTCAGGGGCCATATACCTCAAGGTGCCCACCTGCATGAATTGTAAATATATAATGTTTAAGACTGATTAAATTTTTCATAAAATCGCACAAATGTTTGACGATAAGAAGCATGCATCCTGATATAATCCACCACACTTTGGAGGATTTTATATAATCCTTACGTCGTTGATTGATTTAGTTTCCGCATGCTGTTCCTCGCCGTTACAGTAGTACTTTGATCCAGATATTTGAACAGCTAATCCCAAATCACAAATGCAACAGGTTCCATCAGCCTTGATTAGTATATTACGAGAATTGATGTCTCTGTGAGCGACACACGGTTTGAACTTTTCTGAAAAATCATATAATACGGAGTTCCCATGTAATCGTCTCGTAATTGAATCATTTTAGATTTTTTGTCACTGAAGCGCGACATGACTTACCTCCTTTGCGCACGTCTGTGTGTAAATAAGCGAGTCCTTTGGCGACAGATAATCCCATTTTACAAAATGAAATCCAGTCGACAGTGTGCGCTCGTAAATAATCTATCAAGGTACCACCCGGTGCAAAACTCAAAACTAATAGATACTCAACACTTCCATCCATACTGATTCTTTCATCAACACCTGCATCGTAATAAAATAATTGAACTTTACGAATCAATTCAAAAGGATGACATAGGGCGCACGGAATTACTCACCGTAATAACTTAACAAAGATGGGTGCTTCATGAAGGGCAAACAATAAGTGTCTCTTTCATTTTGGAAGTAATTACGATAATGCGATGGAAATATTTTAACAGCCACGTCTTGATCTCCCATACTTCCCTGCCATACCGATCCGTATCTTCCCTGACCTGCATTACCGAAAAACATCGATTAGATACTACTCTCGTAAAGACCTTTTAATTAAGTGCAGAACTTTGATTAATAAATCTCATCTCATTGTCTAATTATCAGTAATTAGGAATTAAAAGCGATCATCAACGCACCCACGATAGTCGTAAGTTTTAGATGGTCCACTGTGTACGTTCCAGTTCTGAGAGCCGTACTCTCTATAAGCTGTTCGCCGTAGCTCAGAGGCTTTCTCAATCTTGTTAATATGCTATTTCGATAAACTCTATAAATCAGCATGGCTATTGTGCATATTACGAGAAGCGTAAGTATCAAAGCGCTCACGATTATGAGCATCCATCGTTCCGAATTTGACTGACCTAAATATTCCGTGGCTGTGAAACATTTATGACATATTTATTATTTATTATAAAGCTCTTTAAAAAATGTAACATTATCAAACTCGAAGCTTTAACCTAGAACAGTTTGAGGTAATTTGTTATCTGAGCGATAAACGTCGGGAGCATCGGTTATATTTGAATTGCAATAGTTTCCACGGCAGCAACAGAATTTCGTATTATTGAGAGCTTTTGTTGAATGTTGAAGTGCTATGCACTCTGTGTTTTCACACTTCTGTTCACCAGACTGCTTCCAGCATCCTGAATCAAACAGTCAACATTATCATGACTGCAATATTTCACTTAAGACACTGAACCAGTTGAGTACCTTGTAACAAAATGGTGATCTCTGTACCATTCCCCGTTTTATCCTCTTTCCACAGAGCATAGCAAAAATTGTTGCAATTTTCAAATTTTATATCATCATCTCTCTAAAAATAAAGTTTACAGTATATGAAGGATTTTTCCTAACAAATCCTTTATGGAGCAAAAATATATATAAAATAATATTATTTCGTATTGAGTATTAGTAAACAGAAAAGTATAACTTTTTAATATACATGGTGTCTTACCGAAAATGCACACCTTGATTATTTCCGTTACTATTGAAGAAGCGGCAAAAAATTTCAGATAAAAGTTTTGTGATTTTAAGGGGGTCGATTTTTCATCTAAATGATTTTTTAAAAATATTTATTTCATTTCGAGATACAGCACGTTACATGTTTTAAGACTTTGCAGACTAAAATTATTGAGAAGTCAATTTATTGAACGATCTTCGGTTGCGATGCTCTATGCTCTAGCGGCGCTGCAACCGAAGATTGTTCAATAAATTCACTTCTTAATAACTTGGAAATGGCTGAATGGATTTTAGTCTGCAAGGTCTTAAAATGTTAAGAAAAAAAAGGCGCTACATTTTCTTATATCAACAGAAAATATTGTTCCATTTTAAAAAAAAACATGTATCGTGGTGTATCTCGAAATCAAATGAATATAAAAGAAAATAATTTGAATGAAAAATTAACCCTCTTGAAACCATACAACTTTTGTCTGAAATTTTTTCCTGTATTTTCGTTAGTAATGGAAATAATCAAGATGTGTACTTTCGGTGAAACACTCTGTATATTAAATAAAACCTTACTTGTACACGTGCCAAATTGTTATCATCAGAATTATTGTCAGATGAATCAGCAGAGTTTTGTTTTAAAGAAATGTTGCCTATGTTTTTCTGTTGACTCGCACATATTCTGCTTGCATCAATGGGAGTTGAATTGATCCCACACAGCAGAGCAACTAACAGAGTTGAAACAATGGCTCTCATTGTAACTTAGAAGACTCTTGGTATGTAGCCACTTCAATAGAAGCGCTTCTTACGGGTTGGCATTTCTGACCATGGCATCATATCCCACTGCCATAAGCACTCTCTGTTCATCTGTTTATGCACACAGATGTTATTTTAAAAAATGTCTACTGCTCCCTTCTTAACTTACACTAATGTAGAAGTTAAGCAACGTATACTCTTACTTGGCATGGTAGAGATATACTTCTGTATAATGTCATACCTTTAAATATTTCTGAGATCCATGCATGTACATTTGAATAATTTAGAAAAATAATGAAACAATATGCAAGAGTATTTTTGCTAATTACTAATCAAAAAAATTGTAAATGTTTTGTTAATCTATAAGTATTTAATCTTATATCATGCAAAGAACAAAGATTACTCTGGAAGCAGGTACATGGAACATCTAGGACACCCTAACTCAATTCTCTCCAAATGAAAAATAAAAACATGTGACCGTTCCTGGATTAACAACATATCTATGCAAATATACGAAAACATATAAGTATAAATTTAGAGCAAAAATTATTTAAACTAAAATTATTTGTTGGAAAAATTATTATAAAATATGACTTCACATACTTGCAAAGTATATAAAAGTAACGTGTCCTGTTGAGGATAGTCGTCATACAGCTTTTTCAGAAAATCTACACAGAATATGGATACTGTAGCCTTAAATAGTACATGGTTGTTAGTTTGCTATTCAATAAAAAGCTTATATCTGCTACAATTTTTTCTACTTACCACTGCCTTTCTACTCTTCATCGATCTCATTAAGAAAGAAACAATGGTAATTGTGATAAACTGCAAAATTACGAAACACATAAAAAAGATGCAATGTACTATTCATTTTTGTGAGAAACGTCAAAATGAGAATTTCATAAGAACGCAATTTAAAGGAGAATCAACCTACATAAATAGATAGCAAAACTTCGGGAAAAGCATGTATAGTGTTACAACTTATAAAAAAATACTTGTAAAATTGTACCTTCGTAATTGAAGAGAGAACTGTGGCAAATACAGTGGGTAACACTCACAGCGATAAGATTCACGTTACTGGATCATACAAGACTGACTTTCATTATTTTCTTACTGGTCCGAGACATTTTTCAGATATCTACCGGGCACAACATCGACTTTATGATGAAGAAAACGTAATTCCTTTCTTCCTTTCCCTTATGGCTTTATTCTCAATGGGACATGTGCCAGTAACTAGTCCAATTGATTCAGAGAATTAAGAAATTCACACAAGTTAGGAAATCACCTCTGAACACAGAGCCTATTTAGAAAAATGTGAGGAGCCTACAGAATTTAGACACCGAGTGCGAACAGCGTTGAGTGAAATCCGTATGAAGAACCTAAGTCAAGTCTAGTTGACCGAAAAAAACAAAGTATACGTGTATTGTTTTATCATTTATACATTTGACAGGCGAATAGTGTTCATCACTGTTCACTAAATTGCACTTCTTCTTGTTCCTTGTCTCTGGCTTTATGCTCTCATAGAGGGCCAAGTGCCAGAAATTGCACTACAATCAACTGCAATCCCGAATCGCGAATTCCTCAAGGTGTTCCTAAAAACACGCAAAATATCCGAAGAAACTCATTTTATTTAACCTCCGTGTTTTTTACCTCTGCTTCCAGCACACTAAAATTTGCAAACTTTACTTTTCGTTGCAATGTATTTTTCGCGAATATATGATGATTGTCAGTCAATTCGTATTAAAGGCTCTTTCACAGTTAGCACATGAACGCGCATTTTTCTTCATTGCGTAACGATAAACTACAATAAAAGGTAACAGATTTTGTTGTTCTTAATTACCACGTATAGTATATCCTAAATGACCTATTCACTCTATAAGTATTTGTTATGACCTTTGAAATAAAAAAAAATTATATAATGAATTATCAATCATTCAACTTGCAATAGATTTGTCGGGATCATGAAAAAACAACTGTCTCCGCAGCGCCGATTGACGACGTTACAGTCACCGAACTATTTTAGCAAATTTGTTATCAATCGCTGTCGATTACATACGATTGTCAAAATTCTGTAACAGTCACTATACTTATCGATTTCCCATTCTTAACTATTCCTTTATGAGGATACTGCTAAATACGATATATGCAGGTAGAGCGTATAATCTAGTGTGATCAGCCTTACACAGCTGAAACCGAGAGTAACTGCGAGTCACGTCAAGCGGGTTTAAAGTAGCGCGGCACGAACAGACATGAAGCACGCCAAGTATTGAGGAACGCACAAGCTGAAAAGCGCTGAAAAGGCCGCGTCGTATCGTGTGTTTTCGACATTATCTTCTAGTAAGTGGTTTATGTGATATTAACTGCAATGCATTTTACCGGACTGATCGCATAAATCGTGCGAGGCGTTCAGACTGCCAAAAACCGAAGGATAATATCATTGCATTAAGTATATAAGATTTTATCGACAAGATGGTGAAGCTATTGAAGAAGTTTCTGGCGGGCGATAAAGTGTTTGCGAAAGTTCGAGGTTACCCGCCATGGCCAGCCAAAGTAAGTATACCCTTTTTATTTATATTCTTAGCAGTTGCCTTATCAAATGTTTTGAGCTGGATACAATAAGTTATACTCTGCTGTCAGGCATAGCACTACTGGATCATCGTATCTGAAATTCGTGGTGAACTGAAACTGCTAAAAGCAGTATTACTAGCCATAACGCAGCTATTGGGTATTTTACGCGGCTGCCACTAATAGCTGCGTTTACGATGTGAATGGATACGCCTGAATAAGTTTCATTTTTTCCATATCCTCTTCCAATTTTCTCTTACTCCCAATCCTAATCTATTGTATCGAGTAATTTGTTATTGTATTTTCTAAATATAACAACTACAGAATAACGTTAACTCATATTCTACATAATGCCAGTTTTCTTAAGTAGCTGATGTTCGATGTGGTACCTATACTCGTATTATTACATGTTTTTACTATCTATAGGTTGAAGGAGTTATCGATGCTAATACAAAGAATGCAAAGTACAGTGTTTATTTTTATGGCACTGGTGAAACGTAAGTTACAATGTCATTGCATTTGCATCAATAGAATTGTTATTTGTAGATATTCTAAGTATTACTTATTTTACTTGAAATACATATCCAATCGACATGTTAAATGTGAATCAAATGATTGATATTCAATTTTTTTTTGTTTAGAGCTGTATGTAAGGTCGAAGAGTTATTTGTATATGCTGAGAATAAGGCAAAATTTGGTAAGCCTCTTAGGAGAAAATTTTTCCATGAAGGATTACAACAATTGGAGCAAGAACTAAGGAGCGATAGAAATAGATCTGGAATCAGTAATCTGGATGGTTTGTATCTAGAATTTTTAAAATCCTGACAATTCACTTTAAGTGATAAGTACCAGTATTATCTTAAATTTATAGAACCTACAATTGGTGAAGATGCAGCTGGTAGAGGAAGTAATAGTACAACTGAATCAGCAGCAGTAACCACTGCTGATAGTGACATGGAAAGCGGACCATTAGTAATTGATGAGAGTGATAAAAAGAAAACCATGAAACGAAAATCTCATCTTGCTGTATCTAACAACCAGGTGAATATTGATTAATAGATTTTAATGAAACATTTAGACACGTTATTAATTTGCGGGATTATATACGGACATATTGGATAGCATTTTTCAAGATATTCATGTTGTCAAAAAACATCCCGACAAAAATCTTGGAAATGCCGACAAGCTTTTTTACAGGTTAAGAAGTTTGTGCGATAGCTCCATACAGATACTTAAAAATCCTATAAACGTACAGAGTTCTCATAACTAATTTTGATTCTTATCCATTTGGTAGGATACTCCCGAAATTAAGAAAAAACGAGGCCGAGGAAAGGCTTTGTCCGGCTCCATGTCGGAGAGCACTCCAAAGCAGGATTCAGCCCTAGATTCCCAGGGTGAAGAATCACCTGGTAAGGAAGTCGTCAGTCGCAGTGGACGCAAAATTAAACCGAAACGTTTCGCTGATTTTTCGAGTTCAGAAGAAACTGAGACCATGGACAAGAATGGTATTTATACTCTTAAGATTAAAAGATTATTTCACGAGTCATCATTGGAATTTTCAAGCCTTTCTGATGGAGTGTTGGACCTGGTTCACAATAACATAGTTAACTTTTATGTGACATGAACCGTAACCCCGCTTATGAGTCACTCTAACGGTACAGCTCAAACACTGGCCCTTTTGATAATTTAAAAATACTTTCCAAGTGTTTGAGATTTCAAGATTTCTTTGACGCATTCAGAAATATGTACTCAATATGTACACGTTTCTTGTGAATGGTCCTAATTCCTTAGTTCTGTCCATTTTCGGAAATCCAGTGCGTTCATAATTTGTTATCGAAATTTCGTGGCCATTGGTTGTGTGGCATCCTTGCATTCTTACAAAGTTAATAATGTTTGTGAAGGTACGCATAGAATGTCCAATGACTCGAGTGTAGAGTGTCTAACGACAGAGGAAGAAATGCAGGCCCCGTCACCCAATGTAATAGAAAAAAATACAGGACTTCCAGAAACTGACGAAACGCGGATTTTAACCACAAATCAATTGAAAAGACTTGTTCTTTTGGAACAACTATGTCTGATTCGATTGAAAAAAGCTAAACTCATGTCGCAGCAATGTACCACCTAACGTATTCAGTTATCCAATAAAACCTCTTGCCTTTCCCATAGGTTTCGCACTTATTCTATACCTTCATTAATATCGCACACTAATATATATCTGCACAATTGACGCTAACCTTTTCTTACCTTATGTGATGTAGAGCCTTTAGTTCTTTCAAAATCATTAGGATTGTCATTGATTGAAGCGTCTGATGTTCGACAGCGACCGAAGTCAGTGAGGCGACTGCATCAGAATCGAAAAATATGAAATCGAATGTTCGGGCATGCGAGACGTACGGTGTGGATTCATGCTTGGCATTGCGAGTTTTGATACTGTCGAACGATAATACGGAATCAGTGAGAGGTTTGTCCAGGGCGATGATAGCTATTTATTTTCTTATGGTTGCGTCTCGCATTTTTTTCACACAAATAACCGATATGAGGGTCAATTATTGGGTGCTAGGAATCCTAGTGATGGGTACCTGGAAATTTTCATATATCTGTGATCTAGCAATGTACGGAGTGCGATCGAGTTTCTCATAACTTTCCGGGAATGGTTCATGGAAAGTTTATAGGACGTAAACATAGGACATTTCCTCATGATTAGGTGAATTCGCCGGTGGCGGAAGCAAACGCGTGCTCTCCCATTTTAAGAAATAGCGTTGTACCTTCTCAGGGCCGAAAACTGACCGCAATACTGACCTAGAATATAAGCTGACCTGCTACGTCCAAGGGAAACTGAATCGCGGACTGACGGTTTTTAGTCTGGAAATCAAGGAGAAGGCTCTAATAATTATCATCAAGCAAGAGCTACCTGGATAGAAATTTTTAGCCTCACATTTTTGGATAATCAGTTTTTAACATCGACATAATTTTACATTTTAGTCGCGCGACAAAGGTGTACATTTATTAAGGCTTCTTCATTGTCTTGAAAGATTTCTTCAAGAATTCTAGAATTTCTATCGATCTTTTCTGCATAATCGTTTCAAACTAGAGGAATCAGTATATCCAGGTGATCGAGTGACCTGTCAAAAAAATTCTTAGAAACGGGAAAATTTAATCCTGTCAGGGTGACTCGGATAGTAAAGAATTCGCCAGGAGAAGCGGTAGACGATGAACTTTTTCATTTCTGTTCCAGAGAATTCTGGAAGTACGAAGGGACGTGGTAAAGGCAAGGCCGACGATTCATCCGACAACCAGGCTTCTCCATCCGGGGGCTATAAAAAGAGAATTTCATTGGAAAGTAAGGCCAAGATTTAATTTGGCTCTCCATGTGCTATTCATGATTCTATTTGAAAATGTTCCAATTCTTTTCTCTTAGAAAAGACCAGTATGGAGGGAGCAGGGATAGATGGCCTCATTGTATCTAGCAACACGTCTTCGGACTCGGACGGTCGTTGCCTCCTGGCCCGCACATTCGCCGGGGAGTACGTTGGAATTAAACTCGACGTTAATAGACCCAAGACCTTCGAAAGCGAGAAGGCGCGTACGCAGTGGGACTGGACAACGGCCAGAAACGCGATGAAATTGAAATCTCAGCTCGAGAGCGGAGAAATATTACCGGAACAAGTGAAGGACTCCTTGGACTTTAATGTGCACGTTCCTGAAGAAGAGAAGAGACTCCTGGCCAAGGACGGAGCAGTTTATCGCAGAAACTACAAGCTCAGGTACATAATAAATAGAGCTTTTAATGTATCGTTTACGATCGATTGTGCCTTCGTTGATTCGTTCGCTGCACAGCTATAAGGTTTAAAAGAGAAAAAAAGTACGTTGCGCGTATATTATTTAGTTAAGCAAAATTCCTGAAAGCTATATACATGTGTTATATGGCAAACACTGCGAAGGATCGCGAAGAAAGAACTCTTGTGCTAAAGAAACGATACCGAGGTGAGTGGTTATCGTTTATATCTCTTGGATTTACCTTTGTAGGAAAAAAAAAGAAAAATTCTCTTTCATATGTCGTCCTCAAATCGACCTTTTTCAAATCACGTTCACAATAAATTTTCTTTGGATGACATTCAATTCTCGCAACGTGCTACGAACGAAGGTAACCTGTCCATAGGGCGTCGAGATACGTTCGAGGACTGGTGGTCTGAACTCCTTTTTTGCGTTACAGATGGCTTCGTATAGAGTCTCATCTCTTACAGCTTGATGCTCAGATTAAATCGAATTTGGGTTTGGATCGCGCGAACGCGGACAAATGCTTGCAAGCGATGGACGAGATGCTTGCTCTTTCCATCGATCCACTCATGCTTAAGAAACATCCCCATATCGTCGAGACCGTTAAAAGGGTATGCGAACAATCAGTTTAAATTTCTGTGATAGATTTAGTCAATCCCATATCATATTGAATTGTATTGTCCTACATTACGGAATATTTTTATTATTATAGTTGCGAAGATACATTGGCAATTTAGCAGACTGGAAGCTAAGCGAGGAAGAAGTGGTGAGTTTCGAAAGTAACGACTACAATATAGAAAGTGTCTACATTTAAACGTTTATCCATCAGGTTATCTTCAAACAAAAGGCTGAGGTGATCAGACAGAAAGCTGAGCATATATATAATAAGTTTAAGGTAATTTTTAGTTACGTTAAATTTGCATGTTACACTGACGTGTGCAAATCATCCGTACATATCTATTTTTACAGGCTATGTTCACCATACCCGAGGGCCAATCATTTTGGCAATCCTTTTCCGATCAGGTTGTCCATTTCAAGGAATTGACAAAGGATATGCCTGAAGAAAAAATGTTTTCTCTTATGGCTGATCCCGCCTGTCCAGGTGCGCAGTTTTACTCTGTAATTTCGACAAATACCTATATACATATAATATGTTTATCAATTTAAATACAAAGTTCTTTCTATTACAGACTCAGCCATCACGATGGATTCACTAGGAGATGAAAGTAGCGCTCAGGCCGAAACTGGTGCGTCCGGTGAATTAGAAGCGGACGTCGAACCAGCTAGATCCGCCACACCGACAGACCCGGGAACTAAGTAACATTTATCACTTGCCGATATCGAATACTCGAGCACCAGTTCATCTGTCTTGACACTGTCGTAACACTACACCGAGATAAAGACTTGAAGTGCGAGCGCATGTAATTATTGCAATTACACCGAGTGACGCCGTGGCATTCATTCAATGGATACAAGTGCGGAACTCGGGGCGTATAAGAGACCCCTTTACGGACTGACCTTTGCTCTCGTTTTTCGGTCAGATTAGCCCGCAGCACCAGATCACCGTAATAGAAAATTGCCAATCCATCGGCGTATTCGATAGTTAATAAATTCGATCGACCTCCCAAGATCCGATGCCCAATCTGGAAGTACCGGTGCACGGTACTTCCTTCCTTGTGCTGTCCATGGGAGAGAGAATTGTAATTTATCGTTTCTCTTTAAAATCGACCAAAAAAGAGTAATAGAATTAAACCGGAAGGTCTTTACACAAATAGGAAGACACCCTGGCAGTCCGCAGTACCAGAAAACACACACCCGCACACGCTTCACGTTAGTCTAGAGACGGAAATGTTTTTCTTGTTTAAGCAATAAATAATCTATCGAGTATTCCCATCGGATTGGTTATATTGAAACGAAACTTGTCGGAAGGAATTCTGTAAATAGGGATATGCATTGGGAAAGTCACGTACATACATAGGGCTTATGTAATTTGGTGGAGAATTTCCCGGATGGAGACACTTTCCGACGTGTCCACTGCGTATCGTCTCCGCACCAAAGTGTTTCCTTGACATTCACATGTCGTTACGTAGTTGATGTTTCTCCCGACTCGAAGTCCGGTTTCATACAATTTTTAAATTTTCTTTGTTGGTGTGCTTTACGGGCGATTGGAATATTTTTATTCATTTCCTTGTTGCGTCGGCCAATCGATATCTTCCTATGGTCACGTGTCTTGAGAAGTTTTGGTAAATGATAATGCAAAACAATTTCTTAACGATACTACAAAATTCGCTTTTGAAAAAAGACTTCAATACGTGGCCTAGATGCTTTAGAAATTAGGTGATAAAAAAAAAATCACGTATAGTTATTAACAAGCGTTGGTATTTCACACTAAGAGAATTTTTTTCTATAAATAATATCATGTAAATATTGTATTGTACACTTAAAAAACTCGAATTTTTAAGGGTTTAACGCAAAAAAGTGTACGAATATTATTTTTGCCATTGATGAAACACAAAAACGTAAGTTTCATTCTTTTGAGCATCGATTTCTCGACAGAAAAGATCCATTTCTTTAAATGACTACTTAGTCGTATTTTTTTTCTTCATTTAAATTTTTTATTTCCCGTAATAGAAACGCACTTCCATCATTACCATGCGTAATTTAATAAGGACTTCATCCATAGGTGCTATGTGGATATAACGTTTCATATCGAATTTTAAGTTAATCCATCATTATGAGAGCGTCCTAGATTATTGTTACATAAATATGGTATGCAATTAAAATGAAAACTCATTTAAGTAAGATGAACAGACGCTAGTTACAATGAATAATTTTTTAATTAAATAATTCGAGTGGACATCACAAGGCCGGCTTTGTTTGCCCTCGATTGTCGACTAAAGTTGTGGATCAGATGTAACAATAAGACGAACACGAAATATATATGATCTGCCCATTTGTAAAACAATCATGGATCGGTGATCGGATGGAGAGTCAGTCGAATACACAAGGATTTAGTATTCAAAGTCATGACGTAGAATGATTTCGTCCAGTCTTGTGAAAATGCATTGATCTTTGGCTCGAGATGAAAAGAAAAAGTACAAAAAGCTTTGCCACGATTTGCCTTATGTGAAAGAGTAACCGGGCTCTTATAAGAGTAAGTGTAAAATTCGACAATTTGTGGCGCATATTTAAAATGCGACGTTACCCGTAATCGGGGACAATATCTGACATATTCATTCATATTGTACGGCACAAACAAGTCTAGAAGTCTAATATAACTTCGCGAATTCGGAACCCACATTACGATTGTAATAGGCATTGGCTCAAGAACTTTAGATGTTTACCATTCCATTGAAATAACGTACTTCTTCAAGGCTATTTACAAGGCATTCAATTTTAGGTAAATCAAATGTCATTATTTGCAAGACTTTGTCAATTGAATCAGAAGAATATCATATTCATAAATTTCAAAAAATGTTCCTGTCGCCCTTAAAGTATCTCAGAAAGGCAGTATCTAGCGATGTCCGATTTTCACGAGTGCTGCTAGATTATTTACCCTTTTCATACGATTTCAAATAGATAATTAAACAGAATTTTCATATTGTAGGTTTAGTGAAGCTTTCCATTTGAGGTAAAGCCAATTATAGCATTTTACATTGAGTTTTGAGTAAGACATAGAATATTCGAAAGAAAAGAAAAAAATGTTGATTTCAAATGTATCACAAATATTTTGAATAAAAAATGTTGCAAGCTACATGTGCCCGTGCTACTATTTGTCTTTATATCAGGTTAGGTTTATGCCATAAACTCTTAAGCTCTCGGCTTAATGTGAGCCTCACATTCAGGACGTTTCTTGCAAGAGACTGAAGGCCAAGTATGATGTTTTATTATTTGTAATAAAAAGGATTCGTTCAGCCTAAGAATGTGTGCTGGAAGTTTTCGGCACTGCTCTATACTTCATTGGAACAATCCGTCATATATGTACATGCATACGTTTTTATAGAAATCTTTAATAAGGACACAGCCTTAATTTCTGTTGCAGTATGAGATTGCGTCCACATTAAACGACGTCTTTTTCGAGCTTGTAGATAAATTCCGCCAATCTCTGCTATTCAAAGAGTGTGATTCAGCCCTATGCGATGAAATTAAATGAATATTGCTTAAAATAATAGAATATAATCTTTTAATAATAGGAGGTTGAATATGACAATAAAATATCTATAGATTTTGCATTAAGATCATGGTAAAACTCAAGTCATCCCTTCGATAAATAACATCCAGAGACATCGGACTCGGGACAATGCGTAACAGCCGTCTTTCCCAACTATAATACTATACTAATATTGTGGTTACTGTAGCTTGTGAGAAATTAGAATCCTAAACCATCTAGCGGAGTGCTTGAGAAACAGTTATATATGATACGTAAAAATTGCATGCGTATAGAAGAATATATTTTATCTATAAATAATAATCGGATATTGTATATCTTAAAATGACATTAAGCTAGAAATAGCAGCAGTATTTATACTTCTTCGAGATTGACAACATCAAGAAGTCAGAAAGCATACAAGTTGCAACAAGTGACCCATTTGGCGGGAAAACTTGCTGGACGTCATGTTGAATGCTGATACTCCCTCCACGTGATTGTTGCAATACTGAACTGTGCGTACTGCACGATATTGTTCAGTGTATGTATCAGTTGTATTTGCATGCTATCTCTGATTATAGCATGAAGAATATAAACAAAACTGAAATTCAGGAACGCAGCCAAACACAGATGGCAGCAGCTTTATTGTGAATGTTTGTCGTTAGTCTTTTCCTTACAAAATTCGTAAAAGTTGAAGAGGCTGGAGACACTTTAGTATACATACCATGGAAAGTGTAAACATCGAACGAGGAATCATTACAAGATTATACGTTGAGAATTTTGTGTAAGCATAAACTAGAATATTAAATTTTATATAACGTTAGATTTATGATGATGCTCACTTATTTAACGCTGTACCAGCGTATAATAATTACGCGCGAAAGACTTTTATTTCAATCTTCGCGAATATCTCTTGACGCAATACATTAACAATATTTCTACTTTCATTTTAGAACGTATGATAAAGTCGTCGTAGAGCCTGGTCGCAATTTAAACTTGATTATTGGCCCTAATGGTACTGGCAAATCTACTATAGTTTGTGCTATAGTACTTGGTTTAGGTGGGAAACCCAAAATCATTGGACGTGCTCTTCATATTAGGGAATATGTGAAAGCTGGTTGTTCGTCTTCGAAAATTCAGATAGAACTGAAAGATACTAATGGAAGTATAGTAATAACGAGAGAATTTGATATTTCAAATAATACGACATGGCAAATAAATGGAAAGCGAGCTGCTACTAAAGACATACTTCAGTTGACATCGTCTTTGAATATACAGGTTGAAAGCAGGATGTGAATAAGCTACTGAAATAGAAGGCTAGGAATGAAATGAACAATTTTAATTTTTGTAGGTGGATAATCTATGTCAATTTTTACCTCAAGACAAAGTGCAGGACTTCTCTAAAATGAACTCGCAAGAACTCTTAGAAAATACACAGAGAAGTGTTGGGGATCCAATGCTTTTCGAGTATCATGCAAAACTAAAATCATTTCGTGCAACACAACTGGAGCTAGAGCAGATGATTGCAAATAAGAAAAACCTTCTAGTAAATCGAACGCAACAATATGATGGTTTAAAAGAGATAGTAGACAGCGTAAAGGAGAGAAAGATGATTAAGAAGAAGATGATTTCGTTAAGGCAAAAGAAAGCATGGATACTGTATGACACTACACGAACAAAACTAATAGAAGTAAGAAAATTTCAAGAAAGGAACATTGCAAATATTCAAAATTTTTGTTTCCTTCTAGGCGAAAAAAGAGAGAGACGCGGTAGCTCTGGAAATGAAAGAGCTCGACATCCAATTGGCACCACTTGATAAAGTTTTGAAAACGATAAAATTCAAAATCAGACAGTTGGAAGAAATTGAAAAGCAACATGTAAGTGCAGGCACTGCAAATCCGTCATTAACGAAATACACATTGAAACTCACAAACATGTTGCTGTGTTTCAGAAACATGAAGTATCAACGAGAGTTTCAAAAATTGGTAAAGTCGTTGAAGAGATCCAATTTCACGAGGAAAGGATACAGGATATCGAAGATGCCTGTCAGCGCGCGATTCTTCGCGAAAAAAATCGCAATAAAGAAATAGCTGATTTGGAACAGCAGAAGAGCAAGCTTCATAATGATTTCGATTATTTCGTGAAGGAAGTCGGAACCGGTATAATGAAATTTTTTACTGGCTCTTGAAAAACGTGATTGATTGTTAAAACAAGGTATGTTTTGCAGAGGAAAAAATCAAGGAACATCTTCGTGAGTCTGGAATGCTTGTTGAGGAACAGAAGAATGTCGTCGCGAAGTTGGATAATCAGAGAACGATTTTCAAGCAGCAGGAGGATCTGATTAAACGGGAAATACTCTCCCAGGAGGCCCAGTTGAATTTGGCAAACCTGGTTGACGAGGAGCGCCTTAAGATGCTAAAGCGAAGAAGTCCAGACACCTACACAGCTGTTCTTTGGCTCCGTGAAAATACCAACAAATTTCGAAGCAAAATACATGAGCCAATACTAATGGAATCTAACGTTCAGAGTACTAAATATTCCAAATATTTTGAGAGTCTGATACCTAACCGCGATTTGATCGCTTTTGTTTGCGAAGACAAGCAGGATATGAAGCAACTGATCTTGTCCACGAAGCAACAGCTAAACTTGCAAGTGAACGCGGTATATTCCGATTCTAATAACCACATCTCGACGAAGCCTAACATACCTCTCGAGAATATAAAGCAATACGGTTTCGAACACTATCTCGCCTCACTTATTGACGCACCTGTAGCCGTCAACAATTATTTGATTAACATGTATAGGATTAATAATATTCCGGTAGGAAATGATGCTGTCGATCAGAATGTTGATAATATTCCTAGAAAATTGAGCCTTTTCTATAGCAGTAAGATTTATTTTTTCTACACGGGTCACGTAACATTTACGTTATTCGCAATTATTCAGACGATTTTGTGTTTCAGAAAATAATACGTACTCCGTATCCTGGTCCAGGTATACGAACGAGAAATCAGTTAAAATATATAGAGTTCGTGCCAACGGAACGCTTTCTGTTATTTTAGATAATGATAAATTAAAAACAGCTGCCGAGAGGTACGGTGATCGATGACAATATTATTTTCTACTTCTAAAAACGTTCATCTTGTCTTTTGTATCTTGCAGGTTGAAAGTGTTGCAAGAGAAAAGAGAATATACCTTGAGAGACATCAAGCAAATCGAGGAAACTCTTCGCGATGCTGACAGAAAGACCGAAGCATATCGCAGAGCGAATGCAGAACACCAGAGCGATCTCAATAAAATTCGATCTCTCAATTCGAGAATTCTGTTGGCTGAGCAAAAAGTGTCGCAATTGCAAAGTGAAAGAAAGGCAGTCGAGGATGTAAAAGAATCTCACGATGTTGAAGTTCGTGTATGTTAAATTTTGTGTCCCGAGGGTTGGAGTTTGTATTCCACCATTTCATCCATATTTCTTTTCGGTTGACCGAAGATCTATCTGCACTTTTTTGTTTTTTAATGTACAGGGCGTACTCAAAAAGCAAATCAGAATGTATAATCAGCATAATGTCTTGCTTGAGGAATTGTTCAAATGCGTTACACTATGCAAACAATTCAGTTTGGAAATTAATATGCACAGAAAAACTGAATTACTGAAGGAAGAACTCGCTTCAGAATTAAGAAATAAATTTCAAGCTGTAGAACAGGAATTTAAGGCACTGGACAAGGAACTGATGCCACTAAGAGATGAAACGAAAAGATTGCTTGAAGCTGCGCTCGAGACCACCAATGGTGTTGGGCCGCAGGACGCAAAATTCCGTCAGATAAATAATACTTTTGAAAATCTGCCAGCCACTATTGATGAAATAAATGAAGAACTGAGGATAGCACAAGGAAAAGTATATTGTCTGGCGAATAACATAGACGGCGAGAGTGTAAGTGCAACAAAAACCGATAATACCATAATTTCACTATATGTATTTCATTTGATCAAATGTTTAAGCAATTATTTTAACTTGTTTGTATATAGGTGCTACAGACATTCGAAAAAGTAAAAGCGGACGTGGAGAGCTTGACGGAAGAGATAGCCGCAAAAACGTCAGAACTTGAAAAGAATGTACAGATCACTGAAAATATTCGCGACAAATGGCTGCCACCACTCAGCAATCTGATCGAGCGAATTAACCACAACTTCAGTTCGTATTTTACCTTGATGAATTGTGCAGGGGAAGTCTCGCTTGTCCACGATGAAAATCCTGTAAATCAGTCGTCTACTTATCGTTTTGCGCGTTCAAAGAGATTGTATCTATAATTTTTAATCTTCTTGTGTAACAACAGATGGACTTTGCTCAGTATGGGCTCAAGATCAAAGTGAAGTTTCGGGATGCTGATGAACTTCAGGAACTAACCAGGAACCGTCAGAGTGGTGGTGAAAGGGCGGTCACGACAGCAGTCTATATGATAGCATTACAGGAGCTGTCTAGGGTCCCCTTTCGATGCGTCGATGAGATTAATCAGGTGAGTTATTTTAGGATTTAATCTCTTGGTTATTAAGTATGCGTATTTTTCTTCATCCATCTTTCATCAGATAGTCAAAGAATGACTTTTGTTTTTCAGGGTATGGATGGCATCAATGAAAGAAGAATTTTGGACTTGATCTTCAAGATCACCGAAAGACCCAATAGTTCTCAGTATTTTTTGCTCACACCAAAAGTAAGAATTATTTTCCCGTGTCGACAATATGTGTTAAACTTGCATGATGAAAAATGAATTATTTTTGTTGCAGTTACTATCAGCAATGACGTATATCGACACGGTAACTGTTCATTGTATTTATAATGGGCCATTTATGATCCCACACACGCAGTTCGAGAGTAATCAGTACTTTAAGGAATTAGATAGGCTCTTCAGGAAAAAAGTGCCAGAGGAGGATTGAACGACTTGAAAGGGTCTAGTCATAGGACGTCGGTGATGTCCGCGACAAAGTTTTACTACACATCGAGATTTTTATTTTGCCATGGATTAAATTAATACAATATTCATTTAGTTTTCAAGAAAATAGTGTAGCCATTGCGACAGACCTCTCGAAAGAGGGAAGATGTGCTCAATTTTTTTTGCCTTTCTTCTTTTTCTTTTGTGCCTCTGGCCAAGGAAATCCGCGACATTTAAGAACATCCATGATGTTGTGACAAGTATAGTAAGCGTTTTCCATGACTTCTTCGTTAAAAATATCCATGGCGAATCTGGCCTTGCCTCCACTCCTCTTTGAACCCCTTGACGTCTTCTTCGATCCTTTTCCACTCTTTCCACCTTTTCCTCCATTTCCTCCTTTACCTGATTTACCATTCTTTCCATTCCCTTTTACGCCGCCACCATTTTTTTTCTTACTCTTGCCTTGGCCTCCCATGATGTTCTGTTTCCACGTTGCTGGAGAATGTAATTCCTTATGTTCTGTTTGTACAGTATAGTGAATTTTATATCTCGTTATTAATGCATTTACATATACGAAATAAGTACAAAAAGACGACAAAGAACTCCGCGATTGCTCAGATACTATCCAAGTATTAAAGCATAGCTTTCAATGTTCTATTAACATGAAAATAGAAGAAAATTAATGTTTACGGAAATCCTTTGATTATTCTTCCTGATTTAACTTAATCGAACATAGAAAACTTGGATTCTTGACGAACATCTACGTTATAGAATATAAAATACGTAATAGAGTTTCGAGAAGCTGATGATTGATGTACTGCAAAATAAGCACGTCTGTGCTGTACTCACATCCTAGTCAGGTTTATCCTCTATGCGTCAACACGAAATTGCCTTAAGAATTGAGATAATTTATTAGAGCCTCATGGTAATGCTTTTGCACGTTTTGTATGTTTTATACGCGGGCCTATGATACGCCCTTTAATAACCGCGTTGCTAAGTGTTTTATTACATCAATAAAGATATATAGTTAAAAATGATACATAGATGGAAATCATTATAATTCGAATAATTGAAAACTTAGAGCAATAGCTCGTTTGGTCTGTGCCAAAAATTCATGAGAAATATGAAAGAAAGAAAAAAGGATCTGTCCTTGTCTTAAGCGCATAAAGCCGTCCCTGATAGATATGTGACACAAGGTAAAGTCGTGTCTGAGGATTCAGGGTCAGATTGGAAAGGTCTTGCTCTCATTTCTCGAAGATTTTCTTATAATTTACCTAAAAATGCTTTTCAAAATTTCCATATACATATTTCATTATGATTCTCGCACCTTGGAGATACTATTAGAGAGAATCAGCCTTATGGGACTTTGTATCTAACGGCTAGTCGGAAGATTAGGCATGGGAGATATGCTGGAACTAGCATACAAGTTTCAGAGGCGGTTCAAATGTCGTACAGTTCGTTTCAGATGCAGAATTCACGAGGACTGACCCTTTTCACCAATATCTCGTCAGCGATTTTCGTTACATCGACGCGTTTCCTTCGTTATCTTAACAATAATTCCAGTAATAAGATGCTGTCATTTGGTGTCACTATAGAGTTCATTTCTGATTCTATCAGTTGACAGCTTCTCATATCCAGAACCTGTGCAGGTGTTCAACTAGTTGCGTTTCTCATATATTTCTCCAGTTATCTGCACTCGGAAATAAATGGAAAATAAAGTGTGCCTTGATGGCTCTACTTTCGGATGACGCGAGTATCACGTCGGCAAAGTGTCTCCTTGCCCGCATGATAAGGTAGGTTTCGAACTGCACCGCTGCGGCTGCGTAACTACACGGCCTCTGCTGTCTACTCAACTGTACTGAACTGACTCAATTTTAGGTCGCTAGTAGCCGTTACAATCGCATCAGTTTACCAGTGCCAGCTGCCGACCTTAGAAACGAGAGTATCGTTGAGCATTTCGTGCGGTATGTCCGTACCAGGCCTGGCCACAGCCAGTGACAGCAATTGATAGACGAATTAATTTTTTTGCGGACTGATGTCGAGAACAACAAGAAGAAATAATTGAGACGTTTCACAGTTGGTGCCGTATGTCGTTGTGTTCCGGTGAATAATAGAGATCGCAGGAGAAAGGAATACGCCAACGGAACGTGTCTCTCCTCGTATTAAGATTGAAATTGTCGACTGTAGTGGCTACGGCTCACGAGACTCTTAGACACAGGGAAATAATTTCCATGATCGTTCGCTCGGAATAGCAATCGTCGTTGTTGTAAGAGTTCCACTTGTGCTCAAATTCATACAAAACATTGGACCGAAGAGGACCGCTTTCGGAACTAGATGAGAAAATGTCCACGGCTTTGCTCGCCGTCTTTGCTGTTATCCTCTGCATCCTCTTCAGAATTCTGAATGTTAACAGTGCGCCCAAGAAGCCGGTTGTGCTTTGTCAGGATGAAGCTTTCCTCACGACAATCCTTAAAATTTCACCCGTTATAGCCGAACCGTAAGTTCTACAAATGGTATCACCTAACATTTCATTCTTTTTTTTTATGTACTTTTGTGCATTGACTGAGGTAGGCAGCATTAGGAATTTTGTGTTCGGATGTGTCAGTGGATTTAATCTCATCAAGAAATTTAACGATTTTTGTGAGAAACTCAAAGCATTCAAATAGCTTGAACATTCGCGATTAAAAATTTCGGATGAGCAAGCTACATCAGTTAAATGAGAAATAGGTTATTGAAAACTATTTATCATCTGTAGAGAAAACAGTCGAGTAGCGTGCAAGGTTAGTTTTCAATTGTGTGCAGGGATGCACTGAAAACGATCGCAAGCTTTTGTGCAGCTTTAAAAATATATATATGAGAGCAGTGTGCACTTGTCAATACACATATTTTTCTACTAATTGTATTTGATTACGGCAGTCATCGATGTGCTAATATTCTAAACAGTGTGTAGCACAACCAATTTCAGTCTTCTTGGGTATCTTTAAAAATGTCATTGTTGTATCGTTCTTTTTTATTTTGTAATAATGCTGATTAAAAAGAGGTGGAACGTGCTAGATTTCCCTAAAATGAAGTTTCTGAATGCACCCGTAATGGAATTTGCAGATAGTGACATTTCAATTGAAAACATTTTGATTCGTCGATGCATGCTGCAGATATTCAAATGTTTTTCCAGTTTTATTATATCATTTTATTTAAAATTAAGGTAGGTTCTGCGTTAATAAAAATTAAAGATTAACATTTGTTATGAAAATATATCGTTCAGTATGGTGTAGCATATCTTTGAGCGAAATTTCAATATTATTGACCGTCGACTTAAAGAGATATACGGAATTAAAGTAGTAAAAATTCCATTATATAGATATACTTCATATGTTAAAACAGCTATGTTCGTTTCTGAGATATCTCAGCTTCTAAGTGGTGAAAGTGGATGAAACTTTTAAGAGACACTCCTTTTACATCGAATATGACTACGATGATTTTTTAATAAAAAATCTTGAAATTTTTAAATTAATTTTTTACTACACTATTTAAACAATATGTCATGATGAAAACGATGTGTGATGAAACGAAAATTAAGAATTGTTTAATCTCTATCCTTCTACTTGTTTAAAAAAAAGTATACCTTAGGTAGGAAATTTATTATAATGATTGATATACAGGGTAAAATATTCTTGTGACACTTCCGATAAGTGTGCTGCATGAAGTTGACCACTGAATTTTCAGATATTAAAACGTTGAAGAAGAGCAAAACAAAAGATATTCCCGTAGATAATGAAGCCAACAGTTGGCAAGAAACGAAAACAAATCGTTCGAATCTCCTGACAGTAAGACAGCGAAAAACTTGGCCTTGGGCAATTTTTACTTGGGACACGCGTCTGCCACGTCTTTCCGTTATTCGGCAACAATTTAGAATTTGTCGATCTGCCTCTAAGTTCTTGTTAATTTTTCGAAATTATTATCCATGTGTGTGCGGATGAACGCAAGACGATGCTGAGGGGAGTGTTTTGCAGGCTTTCGGATATTTCGATAGATCATCTGTTTCGTACAAATACACTAACGTTAGCTAGTTTTTGTACATAAGGTCATTCGGCTGATAGTGAAATTAGTAGGAAATTCAATTAGCTAAATCTGTTAGGTTAACGGAACGAGAATTCTCGACTACGTTTCCCCTTTTTGTGGCCTACTGACTGACGGGATTATCATAATTTTTCATTCTAGCCGAACTGCGCTGTTCCTCGTACAATAAAATGCTATGTTTGAATGACCAAATATTGTAAAATTGGAAGAGTCCATTAATACGTATACGAAACGTTTGAGCAAGAGCTTTGGATTGCTTGGGATTGTGTTGTGCGCAAATGGCGGATGACTCAACGCGTCAATCGTGCACACATTCATTCCCGCCTCAAATCAATCAGCTACCATTCAGTAAATACAGACTGTTAAAACTAAAATGTCAATAGCTATGAGTCTTGGGTTTCCGATGCATGCAATAGGTAGCCTTGTGTTTTTTAGAGTATCGGATCGTACAAGAGCCCATCGCCATCAAACTATTAAATATTAAATGAAACTAAAGGATTCCCCCAGAGTCTTAAAACTTTTGAGCTCTACGTTGTTGAAAAAAGGAATGTTGAAGATCGATCATCTTACGTGACACATTAATCGCACTTATCACCGATATGCCAATATTCATATGCTATATCAATAAAAAAAAAAATCGCAATGTATATTACTCATTTACCATTGAAGTGATGACGTCACTGAGCTCGATTAACTCGCGTTAGATCATCTATCGCGAAGGCTATGAGTAGCCTTAAGCTGGCAGGATGCGGTCAAAGAATTTCGATAAAATAATTATTAGATCTTTAAGCAAAATATAAGAAGTTCTTGATTACCGAGAATCGGATGGGTTCTTTCGTCGAAAAGTTTAATTTCAATTATTTGTTTAACAACTTTTTATTTACATAATTATGATTTAACCTCTCCACTCTCTCGCGCATGTATAGACGAAGGGCATCAGAACTGGATTAAATAGTCATGTACTCTAATAAGATTAGAGGGATGCAGAACTTGATACAAAGACGTGGCACCCTACAAGGCAGCGATAGCTGCAACCTTAGCAAGTGCCCCGAGTGCGTTTAGCGTTTTGTTTTTATGTTAGACGCGGATTGTGATGGTTTTGGTCCAGGATTTCGCATGGGAGGGTGAATACACGGCCTACGCGATTCCTGTGAATATTTCGAATTCCACGAGGGTCGATACCAGCAGCTCATATGACTTGTACGGGAGCTATCGATTGGTCGTACCATGTAGAAAATCTTTGTGTCACATTGCCACGCGTTATAACTGCGCTTATTCCGATCGATCGAACATTAACTGATATCGATCGAGCACGTGAAGCACGTAAAATCAGCCTGCAAGGTGATAGAGACGGTGACCTGGGAGCTCTTACGACTCATAGGAACTAATCTGAGGCCATTATAAATGTACCTGTTACTTTTGGAAGCAACGAATGCCCGAAATTATTTGCTTGATCAGGAGGCGACGTTCAATCGCTCCTTTCGACACTAGAAAGTCATCGACCGGATAGGTAATAATCATTTTTGCAATTGTCCAGCTTAAAGGTAAGCGAACCGTGTCCATTCGTAGAAGTTTACGTATTTTACAAATATTCCCTGCCTTCTAAAATATTTGTCAATTCTGAATAATTGACTTGTGACTGGCGTCTATAGGACACGCACTGTGCCAGGAAATCGAGCTCCTCATGGATTTACCGTTATCTTAAGACTTTTCGAAAGAGACTTTAGACAGAAATTCTGCTGCCTCTGCTGATTCCACGAGAAGCTTCCTTGAAGACATTCCAGCGTGATTGCGTGAGTGCTTAGTTGGCGATGCCAGCAAAGTCGTTGTATTAACTTTTATTTGCATGCTAAGTAATTTCGGTTCCATTGATTCTAAACGACTGCGCAAACTCACGGGTTCTACGTTATATACTTATTGTTAGATCACTATTGCTGTTGCAAATATTCCTCATTTCAATCTGATCCAAAGCATTAGTCGGATTGGCAAGAGCCAAGGTTGGTATGTATTATACATACACCCGTGTACCTGCTATTTAGAGAATCTCCAGTTATATCGTTTTTACCAGAGGGCAAGTTGAAGGATCGATTGCGACAGTAACAGTGTAACAGGCGAAACAGTCGGCCTAGACCTTGAAACGTAGTTGAGCAGTTTTTGTGATTAAAGATTCAGTAGCTGCGAAAGGCGTCCAGTGACTTACAGCGTTCCTCCGTGAATTCGAACTAGCTCGAAGTCGTTCAAATAGTTTGCGCCTGCGCGAATGCTTGTGTCACGGAGAGGAGAACTTGTTCGGTTGGTTGAATCACCCTGACCCACTCAAACCTTCATCTGTGGTTGTCGCGGCGATTATTATGCATTTTGTTTAAGGACAGTAGGACAGTAGTAGAACAAAATTAAATCTGGTGCAAGCTGTAGCAATTGATGAACAGTCGACTCCTAAATTAGACTAGAAGAAATGGTGTTTCGTAAAAAATTTGTCTCGCAGGTCCCGGTCAAGTGGATCGGCATGGAAGTCTTCCGTCTTCCACGAATACTAAGGATTAGATTTCAAAGAAATGCCATTTTCAAATGCAGAGCTCTTCCTTCAATTTAGGAGTAACGAGAAGGCTATTCCAAAATTTGTGTACTTTCTTTTTGATGTGTTACTAGTCCCGTCATTCGGTAGTTTTACCTGGAAAGTTTTCCGGGAGTTTAAAAATTCGTATGTTTATATTTCGACTTGCTCTTTTCGAATGTTCACTTTACCATCACGCATCTTTGCCGCTCGCGCATCTTCGATATCTTTTTTTCGACTCATTTTACCATGAAAATAGTTATGTGATAAATTAAAGTAGAGACAATTTCCTATAATTTATGTACCAACCAATTTTTGTTGTAAAATGAATAGTTTAAGCGTATGAGCGCCGCAGTCTACTCCAACACGCATATTGGCGAAAAAAACTCATTTATGTATTATATATATATATTTTATACTCATTTATATATACATATATATATATATATATATTGTAACGTATTTTCCCTTAACTCGACGAGCCGGTATGAACTGCTGGGAGTTTGGGGTGGAACAGGCCCGACTCCGCCAAAACGAGAGCTCTGACGGAACCTGTCAGATAATGCGATAATTTAACGGATCTTGTCAATTTTTAGGGATTCGTAAAATCGAGAAACGCAACCGTAGCTGCTCATCTTTGGGGTCGCATAAAATCAGCAAACGCAACTGCATGCACGAACGGCAGCGGACGGTTACAGAAATGCGCGGCCGCTCAGGCTGCTAGGTTGACCTAGAGAGAGTCGCGGGGTAACCGTCAGGCAAATAGTGCGCGATACAGAAAGCAACGGATCGAGAACGTAACAGAACGAATCGGACGTATCAAATCGAAATCCCTTCACCAATTAATAAATTGGAAGACTCACCGGAGCTGGTGCAGCTGATCCGTGAAGGCCGAGAACCGCATCCGGGAGACACTCGGGTGGGCACTGCACTAGGGCACAGCACTACACTTCCGGAACACACTCAGAAAATCCATAGAATTTCCTGGATATCACGAGAACAACGCGAGAAATACACGAGCGAGAACTTTCTATACCGGATCGAAACACTGCTAGAAAAACTATCAACAGATAGCACGGGAGCGTGGGGCGGCTCTTGACACCTCGGTCGGTGCCCGAGACAGACTGCTTTGACAATAGCCAAATTCGAGAACTAATCATTCTGATGATCTGATTGGTCGAGATCCTTATAGTCGATAACTCTTCCATCTCCCTCGATTCGTCCCTTTAAACCAAATCGAGAGCGTTCCTTAGTGAATCGGTACGTAACACTTTTGGAGATCCTCCATGGCCACTACCCCAGGGCATCAGGCGGCAGCTGGGCACCACATCCGTAACTCGAACAGGAGGTTCCTACTTTACTTTACTTTTATTTTAATTTATCACATAACTGTTTTCATCGTAAAATGAGTCGTAAAAGATACGAGGTGGCAAAGTGAAAATTCGAAAAGAGCATGTTGAAATTTATAAAAATACCAATTTCCAAAATTCCCGGAAAACTTTCCAGGTAACCCCTTTTTTGAGCACCCAATGATTGGACTGTACTTGCAACTCTAGTGCGATCTAACGATAAGATCTTTCATTCCTCTGTTGATGCAATAGGTACAAACCAACGCGGCTATGGGGTTTCAGTGGACACGTGCAGACAATCGTTCACAGTATTATAGGACGCGTACGGTGTCCATGGCCAATTGGGGAAAGAGTGTACATTACTCTGCCTGACGATTCCACTCTGACCTATGACCTCTACCAACCACTCACGAATGGCCACGAAGGTAAGTAATTTCGGAATCTTTAAAAGCGATCGCAGCTCTCTGCAGACATTCCTTCTTATGATACGATAAGCGACTTTAGCAATTCATTGATAATCAACGAAAAATTGTCTGGTAAAATTTTAGATGACATAACGATCGCAATCTGCCCTGGCATTGGAAATAGCTCGGAGAGCGTTTACATCAGAACGTTCGTGCATTTTGTTCAGTGTCACGGGTATAGGTGTGCTGTACTTAATCACATCGGAGCCCTTTCGAGTGTCCAGGTCTCTGCGCCCCGGATATTCACGTATGGTAATTGTCTCCTTACTAAATAATCCTTTTACTTACTACTCTGGCTGCATCGTTCATTATCTTTTATTGTCTTTGTTGCTTTTTAACAGGACACACTGACGATTACCACGTAATGCTTCAAAGTCTCGTGGATAAACATCCCAACACAAGGATAGTCTGCATCGGATTTAGTTTGGGAGGAAATCTAGTAACCAAGTATATGGGCGAGAGAGGCTCGAATAAGTTAGCGAATATTATCGGTGGCATCTCTGTTTGTCAAGGCTACAATGCTATCGAGTAGGTAACTTATTAAAGAGTGTCTTATGTTCTGTTAGTCAAATGATCATGAAATTTTGTATGGTATTGTTCGAATAGGGGTACAAAGTTCCTATTGAACTGGCAGAACTTCAGACGCTTCTACCTCTACGTTATGACCGAGTCTGTGAAGAACATCATCCTCAAACAGAAGAGCGTCCTTTTGTCGGAGGACGTGAAACAGAGGTACAGCCTCAACGAACGCGACATCATTTCTGCGGCTACTCTGCCAGAGTTGGACGACGCTTATACGCGGAAGGTAGTGGAAACGAAACTTCAAATTGCTGATCTCCGTACACGGCAATTTTGAAGCTTTGCAGCTCATGTTATATTTTTGTTATAGGTACACAACTTTAGGTCTGTAAAAGAACTTTACAAGTGGAGCAGCTGTGAGTTCTATCTAGAAAATATTACCACGCCTATGGTATTCATCAATGCTCTTGATGATCCGATTGTTCCTGAGCAGCTTCTACGACCAATCAAAGATTTCGCATGTAAGTCTGTGCATCCGTTCTCTGGCTTCCACTTCTCGACTCTTTCGAGTTAATACATAAATTTCTATGTGTCATTACAGCCAGCCATTCTAACGCGCTCTACATCGAATTAGCACATGGAGGCCATCTTGGTTTCTACGAGGGAGGTTTGCTGTATCCAAATCCCATAACGTGGTTGGATCGCACTTTGGTATCATTAGTGGGATCTTTAACCTTGGTACACGCAGACAGAGCACTCAAGGTCTCTTAATAGATTCAACAACATTTTACATCTTCAACGCTTCGTCTTCAGAGTTCCATCAATTTTTCAACGTTGCTTTGGACCTTTGAACTTTGGAGTGAAATGGTGTACTCTGCATTTCTATGCAGGGAACGATGGCGGTTAAAACTCTATAACACGATAAAGTTTTCGGAATAAATGATTATTCGTGAAAGGAACAAATATATATACCATATATATATGCTTGGTTATTCAGCCCACACGCACCACCTGATGTGTTTTTATCATAAGCATCAAATGAGCGCACTAACTGCAGATGGTGCACTTGGTCTGAGAATCTTGCAATTTCTCATTAACTGCTCGAACAACACTTTTTTTTAAACTAAGTATAGTTTGAAATCTTTTTTCGGGAATTCTTAAGAAAGTCGTCACAGAAGTATTTTTGAACTGCAATTATCTTTTTCGAAAACGCAAAGTAAGCCTACATTTATCCCGGAAACTTAGATTCTCGTAGGGATCCTAATCAGAAAATACGATTTATTCGACTCGGAAAGTTTAAAAGTATTCATCAATTCTCATGGATCGTCGGGGAATTGTAACGACTCACATGTCAAATGTATTTATTACTAAATACAAAGCATATTTTGCAATTGTCCATAAATTAGTTGCGTTTGGAGCAACGAGCTGTAAGGAATATTCAATGTGTTTCTGTATATGTATACAGAAACTACAGTCGCAGAAGTTCCAGTTGTTTTTCCAGAGTTATTAATTTTGACAGTAACAAGACTGGACGTTTTGCGGCGATAGTACACATATTATATTACAGTTAAGAGATATTTATAGTTTATCGTACAATAGATTTAGAGAGGACCATTCATCTGATTGGGTTGACAAATCTTGTACCGGTTGTACGGTAATGATTTGTCTTTCAACGATTTATTCAGACGAAAAATTCTCTTCCATATATATTTCTGGTAATTGAATAATTTATTTAGCCTTTTGGATGCTAAGGATCCAACTTGCGAGTCCATTGGTTAATTTCATTTTGCAGTTTGATTTCCAAATTAAAAGTCGACATCGGCGAAGGGCCAGACAAATTTAATAAGTTTAATTATTTGAGACATCTTGTTTGAAAGGATCTTTCTACGGACTTTTCGAATACGGCGATACCAGAATGAGCAATATTATTGTAATTATACCGATGGTACAAATAAGACAACACAATGTCATCCATTGACTCTCATCGATGAAACCATTGATTCCGGAATGGTCAGTTTATCCGTAGACACATGAAGCGTATAATGTACCTGGATCACTGAATTATTGTAATATATTCATTTGTAGAGCGTGCCTAGCGTTGTGCTTTTCTATTTTCACTTTGCGCAATGATAACGTTAGATAGTCAATCCCCATACGAGGCCTACGAGCATTCTATGAAACAAATGAACTTTTTTTTCATTTCTTTCTCAAGTGCACGCAACAACGAATGGAAAAATGAAAACGTTGATGCGATTGCAGCGATGCAGATAGAAATCAACGTAGCACTGCTGAGGAGAGTAGAATACTTGAGTTGCTTCTCAAAACAATTATTATTGAGAGTTTGTAATATTTCTAGAAACTAATAATAAATAACTCGATTGTGATTAACGTTAATAAACAATGTATCGATATTTCATTCCGTCAGGATTAAACGTTGCAACACCCGATAATCCACCAGATACACAATTATTTTCCATACTTGCGTGTTGGCTTATTCGATGTTCTTTCAAATTTCCGCATTTAATCGAATCAAGTAGGCATCCAAATTTCACGTTTTCTGAGTGGTAATCACCAACTGTCTAATTGTAAGTGTTCATTAGCTTCTAGGCCGTTGGCTGTTTTATCAAATCTAGTGGTTTCGAGAGTACACGAGTAACATATGTTTTAGAGGATAGATGACCAAAAAATTATCGCCGTTGCTTTTACATAAGGGCCTTTGGCAGCCTCGCACTAACGATTTAGGCAATAACTATTTTTCCAATGAACATATGTATCGGGGAACAATAATTGTCTTAATTATAAATTGGAGAAATTTTTTGTTATACAAAACATTCCATGAAATTTTTTACCATTAAATACAAGGTTGACGATCAAATAAATTTATTGTATTTTTCGCGTGGCTTAACCGTTCCTCACAAATTTCCCTATTACGTGTTCCATGAGTGATTGACAAGTCTAAGTACATTTTGTAAAGAACGTTACGGAATAAATCTTACGTTATTTTGCACATTGTATCCTTTTATTCTGTTAGTGTCAGGCAATACCAGGTTACTGAAGCCTCGCTTAGACGGGCCATGTTGCTGTCCATAGAGAGACGATGTGGACCTTTATTGTGTATTTGTTCAGGCTCAGAAGCTTTGAGTTTGTGCCGTTTCTTATCCTTATCTGAGTACAGTGCCGAGAACGAGATTATCTTGTTGGTAGTTATTGTAGGTATTAGCCTCTTAGTTAGGAAGTTTCCTCGGGAGTCTTGAGTTACGCAAAGAAAGCAAAAGATGGGGCTGACTGAATGAGATAGCGCGAGAAACTCAAACAGTGGAGAGGTATCACAGTTCCATTCAGTTTTATTCTCGCAGTCGTGTGCGGACCAGTGCGGACACTCGTGCATCTTGCATGCCGATTTCAGCTTCTATTTGCCCTCTCCTTCACTCATACACATATATAGTAATCGAACAGTCATTCCACGAACGAAAAATGAAGGTTCTCTCCACTGAGATATCGTTTCTCTGCATGTTACTCACCGCTACTGCTCAGCCGATCATGTATTGGGAGCTAAGGGGGTTGCTTCTCGCGGACGAGCAGCGCACTAACCTTGGCGGGAGTCTCAATTTCGAAATTGGTGAACGTGCCGCTAACGATATATTGATGAGTGCTAAGCAGAAGGAAATCAATGAAGGTTTGTCAATCCCTTTCATGTATTCTAATTTTTAGTCTATTTTTGCTTCATTGTTTTCATATCTTACCTTAGTATTAAGTTTCGCAATCGTTGTTATTTCAATACGATTATATTAGTAGAGTTGCCACCATTCACCCTAGTTCTAAATATTATACGCGTTACTGTCTAGTTACTATTTTGTCGATTACAAAGACGGTCGAATCTTGATAAGCTGCCTTAAAGTTCGTCTTTATCTGGCTACATGGTCGTCATCAGCGAGGAAAATCAGTTATTGATATCTCATACATTCGAAGATTTCATAGTTGTACTCATATTATGGCCATTATAGATATCCGTTGTCTGTTGTAGAACCGCGAAGGCTCAGCACTCATTACGTTATTCACTTTATTATGTTGTGTGTTGAAACAGTCAGTCTTCCCGTGATTAATGATCCTCCTTAGCACTCGTTATGTATCCTTTACTTTTTTCTATCATAGAGAATGGAAAAAACTAATCGTAGTCGCGCAACTTAAATGACGGTTGCTGTTTGTATTTTGAATTCACCTTCTATAAGCTCATTGTATTAAAATTCCTAGGAAAGAGATTCCAAGTAATAAAGGACACAAAATTGGAGGCCAATGTACTACGACGTAGAAGAATCATTGCGCAACACTAAGTTGTAAACAACAAATTAAAAAATTCCTACACAATCATCGCTTCGTCGCGCTCGAAAATTGCGTAAATTATTTTTAAGCATATGTCCTTTTTGACAAATAGTTGTATTTCTATTTTCTCAATTAAAAGGATTTTCAAAATAGTCCGAGTGTGACAAGCATAAATGCACGCTTAGTCGCTCAGTTGATAATGCGTCGTACAAAAAATTACTTTGCAGCTTTTGCCGAATTGACGACGTTCCTACCGGCGAGAAATTTCATGAATCTCGTCGAAAATATTACGGAGTCCGAGGTCTTTAAGATAATAGAAAAGATGCCGAAAGGCGGCGTGCTTCACTGTCACGACACTGGCATGACTTCCGAGGATTATATATTGAAGAATATCACTTACCGTGATAATCTCTATGTTTGCGAGATCAATGGCAGCCTGTCGTTCAGATTCTTTGACAGCCCGAACGACCATTGCAACTGGGAATTGCTGAGTGCGCTGAGGGAGAAGATGATCCATGCCGAGAACATTGACCGACGCATTCATCAGCAGATTTCAATGAAAGTCGATAACCCCGAGGACGTCTACGCGAACAGCAGCGTGGCTTGGCTGAAGTTCCAGAGCATCTTTGCTACGAATAATCCTTTGCTGACCTACAGGCCGATATTCTTCGATTACGTGTATCAGGGACTGCAGGAGTTGTACGATGACAACGTCTTCTATGTGGAGTTGAGGACAACGTTGCCCCATCTGTATGAACTGAACGGCACGGAGTATGGGCCCTTGGAGACGATTAGGGCCTATAAGGAAATTGCTGATAGGTAAAGTCAGGCGATGCCTGTTTGCGCTTCTTGGCCATATACAATACTAAGGGGGGG